CCTGTGCACAGAAGGGTTGCCAATTCTACCCTGGTGGGGGGCATGGAGGAGGCAGCTGATGGATGTTTCGCTTTCACATCGATGTTTCTCTCTTTCTCCCCCTTTCTCTCTCTAAAAATGAATAAAAAATATTTTTAAAAAGAAATTCTTTCATAAGTATTTCTGTTTTAATAAATTTTGTATTATTTAATCCTTTTTAAATTCTAGAATTTAAGCTTATCATTTAGAACTTTTGGAGTATGTTGATCTGATTTGAAGCCCTGGCTTTGCTGCTTAACAATGATATAACTATGGACAAATAAACAGATTACTTATGTATTAAAGCTCAGTTTCTCATAATAAAAAAGAATTAATAATAGCCTCATAGTATTGTTGTAAGCATTGAATGAAATAATAAATATAAAGAGGTTAACACAATTCCTGACACAAATATACCACCTCACAAGTGTCCATTGTTGTTAATAGTATACTGGTTATTATTAAACACCTCCATCATGAGCATTATTTTGTCTGTCAGAGTGAAGATCTTTTATAGACCAAATAAGTTATGCCAAAATTTTTTACTAAACAAGTCTGAATGGAGTACATTTAACGTGTTAAAAAATATGAAAATGATAACAAGATTTATAAATTTGTTTTTTCCCTGATATTAATGGTTTAAAGAATGCAGCAGTTATGCCATTGATGCCCTTGTCTGTCATTCCAGGACTGATAAAATTGTTTTAAAAGTTAAAGATTTTGCTTATTCTAAAAGACAGACTTTTGAAAGACATGACATTGATCAAGATTGCTGTAGGATTATGTTTTATTTTTTAAATGATGACTAGAAACAGAGAAAGACTTGCCAATTGTTCTGATAGTCCAAGATAAACAACAAAAAGCAGAATTTGGAAGAAAATGGTTTCCTGTGATAAAACATGACATGTCCAGTAAGGTTTAGAAATTCAGAATCAAAGTCCAGAGTATAAAATTAACCACTTAGAGACTTATAAAAGCAAGAACTTCAAACTCACAACTGAAAATAATATATGTTGATTAGTCATATATAGTCTGTGCTCCTAATTCATTTTTTGTCTAAAAATATCTCTTTTTATTAAGTATATTTGGGTGACATTGATTAATAAAGTTATATTGGTTTCAAATGTACAATTCTATAATACATTATCTGCATATTGCATTGTGTGTTCACCATCCAGAGTTGAATCTTCTTTCATCCTCATATATTTGACCCCTTTTAACCTTTACTTTCCCCCAAACTCCCTCCCCTCTGGTAACCACCATACTGTGGTTTGCTTTTCTTGTGTGTTCATTTGTTGTTTTCAGTTTTATATCCCACATATGAGTGAAATCATATGATTCTTGACCTTTCTGTCTGACTTATTTCGCTTCTTTATAACTTTTGACAGAGTTGGCCACTTCTTCCTTCTTGAAACTCCCCTCAATCTTTCTGAAATGTTGGTCTTGGTCCCCCTTTTAATTTCATACCTATTCACTTTTAGTTTCCTTTTTAATCTCTCTTTGGTATTTCTAAATAATTATATATTTGATCTTTTTGTCCTTCTCTTTGAAGTCTATTCCATTCTTATGATTTTATCACTGATGATTCCTAAAATTGTCCAATTTAAACCCTATTCCTTAAATAAATATTGGTTATTCTGAGCCCAGAGGCACAAATAGGTTCCATACTCTCTCAGAGCTTATAGTCTTTTGGAGATATAGAGAAGAAAACAAGCTATGATCATATTTAAGTTTTATGAAAGTGAGGTATAAGATCCTACAAAAGCAGGAAGGCAGGGGGAATCACACAGACATAGCAAAAAGAACAAATGGCCATTGTGGTTGTGAGATTGGTTTTATTGAACAAATAAACACATTGATTAAGCAAACAAGTAAAAAAATATTGAAGATAATTAAAGTTGGTTTCTCACTGTTGGAGAAAATAGAAACATAGAAAGGAAAAAAGCTAAAAATCTAAGGATCTAAGGTTTTGGATTAGAATTGGAGGTGTTGAATCGGTGTTAGTATGAATTTTCGGTATGTATATACACCATACAGAGAGGAGGGATATTATCATAGATGTAGATATGTGCGCATATGCACATACATATGTAGATTTTTAAGCTCAGAGTCTACTGAGGGGACCTATAAGCAGTGCACCCAACTAATAATGCACACCCTTGAGAACCCATGTCTGGATGCCTATACACCGTTCTTCACTGGGAGGAATCGGAGCCCTTTGGAGAAAAGATTGATTCCAGAACTAAGCCAGAAAAAGTATGAGATGAACCTGGAACATCTTTTGCCAGTAAGGAAATGCTGAAAATATGATGAGCATTTATGAATATTAAAGTAAGTGATGATAGTAATAGATTAGAACACATTGAATATAATAGGAATCAATAAGTCTATACTAAATAAGTAAGAAAAGGAAAGCTCTTCCTTACAGTTGGGATACCAATTTATAAGCCTAGAAAGAATGTATTTGGCAACTATCATAGTGCTTAGGAGTTGTCAGTGGATGCTAAGCTGGTGGGTTGATAAATGCTTAATGAGGAGTGGAATATTGACAATCTTGGAATAGCTCTAATACTAAAAGTAATCAATTACAAAGAGGAAACATAATGATCTTATAGTTTAGAAACATGACAGAGACCAACACAATCAGGTGATAAAAGTCAACAGTATGGGTCAGTGGTTGAGCGTCGACCTATGAGCCAGGAGATCATGGTTTGTTTCCAGGTCAGGGCATAAGCCCCCGATGCAGGCTTGATGTCCAGTGGGGTCGTGCAGGAAGCAGCCGATCAGTGATTTTCTCTCATCATTGATGTTTCTGTCTCTCCATCTCCCTCTCTGAAATCAATTAAAATATATATTTTTTAAAAGTCAGTATCACTATTAGTGGGATCAGTCAACATCATGTGCTCTCTAAGGTAATCCCTAAGAAGAGCATCACCCCATTTCTGTGATGCTCCTGGTAAAAACAACATTATCTTAGTCTAGGACAGTGATGGCAAACCTTTGAGCTGGGCGTGTCAGCATTTTGAAAAACCCTAACTTAACTCTGGTGCCGTGTCACATATAGAAATTTTTTGATATTTGCAACCATAGTAAAACAAAGATTTATATTTTTGATATTTATTTTATATATTTAAATGCCATTTAACAAAGAAAAATCAACCAAAAAAATGAGTTCGCATGTCACCTCTGACACACATGTCATAGGTTCGCCATCACTGGTCTAGGAGGTCATGAAGAGACATCAGATCCTCCTGTAGAATTTTAATATTCATCCTCTTTAAACCTGGTGAGGACATGATAGGGAAAGGCTAAGGAATTATTACTGCTTAGAAGCGAAAGAAGAAATATGACAACTAAATGCAACATGTGTTCATTGAGGTCCTGGTCCCAGAAAGAAAAAAGAAACATTTTTTAGACAAATGGCAAAATTTGCATGAGGTCTGTGGCTTGGACAGTAGTATTGTATCTGTGGATTTCCTTTCTTGAGAAGTTGTGCTGTGGTTATATAGGAGAATATCCATGTTTAGAAATTATATTCTGCAGTTCTTTGGTGTGATGGAGACAATATTTGTGACTTGCTCCCAATTGGTTCTGAAAAGACTTAGGATAAAAGCACAGAGAAAGAAGGAGAAAGGGCGATGGGGCCAATGTGGTGAAATGTCAACAATTGAGCAATTGGTATCAGGGTGTGTGGAAATCTTTATACCAATTGTGCAATTTTTCTGTAAGTTTGAACTTTAAAAACAGTTACACATATTTTAAAGCAAATAGAAGGAAAACTTACCCCAGACTGTGTTTGTAGGAAAGAATTTGTTAGGAAGTGATCCCGAATCTGGGATCTAAAATATGTCAGCAATAGGCACGTAAGGGTCTGTGAGCACCTTGAGAGGCGAGATAGTCTAGTTTTAGTTCTTATTTTATTTTTTATGATTGACAATTAGATATTATTGTTGATTGAATGCATGAATTGAAAAAAATGGAAAGAAATTTGGTATGGCTAGAAATTAGAATGTCAGTGTGGCAATGGCAAGAAATTGGGCTGGAAAGGTTAAGCAGGAATTCAATAAATATATATTGAGTGTGCTTGTAAGCAAAAAAATTCAAGTAATTATAAAATGGCTTGAGAAATGACAGCTCTCTACTGTATCCTAAGTGATTGTTAAGTAAAGAGTTCTGATCTACATATATAAATTCTTTAATATTAAATTCTTTTGAAATTTTAAGTAATTGGATAAGATGTATCCTGCTTAAAGTTAAATGAATGAATCTTTGTAAAATCTTGCCAATTGTCAGGATTGTGTATATATGTGTATACATATATACTTCATAAGATCAATGGGTTTAAATCGCTTACAGCTTTGTTCAGCTCTAACAGCTGCTCAGACAACTATGGAAACTTGCAGTTCAGTATGTATCCTGCTTTGCACCTGCATAAATAAGCTCTTTCTGTTAATCTCCATCTTTTTCCGTTCTGGTTGTCCTTTTCGATGCAGCCAAATTGTGTGAACTTAATTGGAATATTATTTTTATTAATAGTTTCTTAGGGAAAATGTGACTCCAAAAAAATATTCATTAGCCCCTTGGCATTTTAGTCCTGCTGCTCTTGCAATCCCAAATGAGTAAAAGAATCTGTAGAAACAGAGCTTATATTTAAGAAGCAAAATTACTTATCTCAGTACCCTTAGTAAATTAATTTGGAGCAAAGGCATTATACTTCTTTGAAAAATGTGGGACAACTTTTTGCCTAGATATTTGTTCCCCCAAAATGCTTATTTTGCTTGCCAGGATAATTTTAGAACTAAGAACTTATATTAGGTTTATAGACCTATAAAATTTATAAATGAATGTGAAATATAACAAATCTTGTGAAATAATCAAATGCATCCTGTAATTATAGGAATTTTAAAAGAGAATTGTTAAAGCCCTTATTTTATAAATATTTAAAATATTGCTTTTTATTTTGTTTTTACTAAAAATGCTAGGCACTTGGAGGTGTCCCAGGAAGTCAGCCATTACTTCCCAGTGGAATGGACCCAACTCGACAACAAGGTGACTATTTAAAGTAAAAGTAAAATAGATGTGCAGAATCTCAAAGGAAATCTTTTATTCTTTTAAGGAATTTTTTGAATAAATCTTCCATAATTATACCAGTTGCATTTTTGCAGATGGCATGGCCAAGTGATTTATATTTTTAGCTAAGTCTTAATTATGCATAATGATGAAGGCAGTGATAACATAAGAAACAGAATAATTAAGCAGCACGCAGAGGGAGACTCCTAGCCTCTGGTTTGGCACCCATGCTCATTTCCTAGCTAATGCCTTCCTGCTTTTATTTTAGGACATCCAAATATGGGTGGGCCAATGCAGAGAATGACTCCTCCAAGAGGAATGGTGCCCTTAGGACCACAGGTAAATAATCAGAAAGTAAACACTGCGTTTTTTGCCTTTATTTCATATAAACAAACTATGTTATTTCCTGGCTTTTGTTGTATGCCTTAAAGGCTTGATATAATACAGTTGTTAGGCTCTTGAGAATATAATATCTGTAACGTCTAAATTGATGTAGCAGCAAACCATATTTACAGGTGCTGTCACATATGCATTCAGTACATTTAAGAAAATACATAATAGTAATTATTATGAAAAGATAACTATTGCCCTTTGTTAGTTATATTGAGGAAATATATTAAAATTTATAGAAAATTGTTATAAAAGATAACAGCCATATAAATTAAGTGGTTAAAAATATTAGATAAAATAAACAATATAAAATACTTCTCTGTCTTTGGGAGGATGTCATTGACTATTTTATACTACCATATTTCTTTATAGAACATGGAAATAATAGAGAATCATTTAGAAATAACCATTGGAAATTTGTCTTGCTGAACAAGCATAGCGCTATCAGTAAACATCAGATGTTAGCCCATTTCTCTATCAAAATTTCCCAGAAGTATACACTGAGGTCAAATCTATCCTAGCTGTTGGTGACATTTCTTAAGTATGCTGTTCCAGGATATTGTTTATTTTGGCTGAAATAATCTTTTTTGTCTTCCTTGTGAAAACTGCATGGGGTAGAAATTAATTTTATAATGTTATATTTCAAAGAAACTAATCCAAATCCAGAATTTAAAATTTCTACCTCATGGGTCAGAGGTTAGCATGTCATAACACTGGTTAAAAGAATGAATTAATTTATTTTATTTGTCCTTTTCAAGAAAAACATTATTAGTGACAGTTTTCGAAATTGTTTCATGTATCTACTTTTTAAAATTTAAGATTTTGTTGTGTGGCCAAAGGAGTCAGAGATTTAGAATCTAACACCCAGGAGTTTTTAACCAACATACAGTAATAAATGATGGAACTGTATTGAAATATGAAGTTCATATAACCTAATTTTTCAGAAATACCATATTACATGGGGAAAAATACTATGTGAGATAGTGAGATACTCAGGAAAGAATAATTTCTTTCATTAAATTAAATATATGTGAGATATTCCATCAGAAAAAAAATAATTTCTTTCATTTAGGTTGTCTTTATGTGCTTTCTTAAGATCTTATAAAAATCTGATTTCAATATTTAAATTATTTTCTCTGTTACTACTCATGTTAGCAATAATAATTTGTGACCAACCATCATTAAGCTATTAATAGTAATTAGAATTCATAAAATCTATAGGATATTTCATTGATTGAATATACAGAAGTTTTTAATAAACTAAGTATTTAATGAACGAAACCAACCAATTTGGCTACACAGAATGTAAAGGCTTTTTTTCCCAAAAGATTTCCATAAAAGATATATTTTAAAGACACATCAAAACTGATTCCTATAATTTAATCAGACTTAATTCAGTTCACTTACTTTTCAGGTAGCTGCTCTTTAAACTTTTGTCATTCCTAGACCAATATTTTTAATAGTTTGAAAACTAGAGTCTGACTTAAGAGTCTGTTTTGCAGTGTTTGAAATAAAAAGCATACTGGTCTATGTTTTGGTTTAAAAATAACTGTTTTGTTACAAGTAAAAAATTCAATGTAAGATAGCATATTTATGGTGAGTAATCTCTTATTAATGAGTTTTAATAAGTAAGTTTATCATATAAGTGTGAATCTTTCTTTGCATATTCAAACCCAAAGAAAGTAGTTTATTTCTTCCATTTGGATTGGTATCCTTGCTATCTATTTCTATATAATTTGAGGGAAATGAAGTGTTTTGTGTGAGTTTACCTAAGAAGCCAGAAATACCTATACTCACTTTGTAAAAAAAGTAAATTTTCATTTACTTAAATGAAAACAGGAATCATATGAATGAATAATAGATAAAAAGCGAGGTAAAAATCATTTGGAATGGGGAATTCTTGTGAGGTATTTACTCATAACACCTGGTATATAAAACATAGGCATTATAAACTGTGAAATGTGTAGTAAAGGTTAGCTGTGTTTCTTGAAAGAAAATAGGAAAACAACTTTCATAACAGACATTTAATCATACAGATGCCACCTAAGAGTGGAATGCACCTGCTTTTTTTGTAGTTGAATTATAGAAGCATAATGTTGTTTCTGGCTTTATGCACAAACAAAATATACATCTTGTTCTTATTATAGGTACTATTGCCATTATTTTTTGAGCTTTAGATCAGTGTGGTGAAGAGGGATAATAGTTACCTATTGGAACAATTTAATTACTAGAACAAAGAATTATATATTGTCTAGTGATTCTTATACAATGCTGATTTAGGTAAAGTACACCCCTAGGACAATAGTAGACATGTGATTAATATTTATTGCATGGATGTAGAAATAAAAGTTTGCTCTAAATCCTGGCATATTTTCCCCACCTATTAATCTATTTTAAATTAAAAGTTCAGTGGTAACACATGATTTTTTAAAATGATATCACTATCTTTTTAATAGAAAAGCAAAATTATCTATTTAATCAAGAAAAATCACTTTCCTAACACCAAAATTTGAAGTCATTTTTTACTTGCTTTTGTGCTAAGAAATATTTAGCTTGTCTGTGTTCTTATACTCAGCAGGTGCCATGTAATTAACAGAAAAATTCACCAAGAATACCCAACTATTTCTAGTTCTTCTAGAAATCTAAAGGCTAACTGATTTACATACAAATGGAAACATACTATGATTTCCAACTCAGATATTTGAGGTGGAGAAATGGTGAGATGGAAATACGTGATGGGCTGTCATGTAAAGAGAGAGTAAACGGATTTCTGTATTTTCAAATATAAGATGGGAGGTAGAATTCAGTTCAGGATAAGGGAGAAATTTCTAGAAATTAAACTGCCCAATCATGGAAAAACTCTGTAAACTTTCCAAGCAGAGTCTGAAGAGCCATTTTGTCAGGAACATTGCATTGGGAGTGAGATTAACCAGATGGAATTGTATAGCTGCCATCAACTTTAAAATTCAGCGATTCTAAATTAGCTCTTTCTATTCTGCCTTTGTTGTTACCACTTGGAAAGCTAGTTGTTATTCTTTCTTATATTCCTGTTTTCTTTTTGCTTCAAATTAATCACAAAATGTAAATATTTTATAAATCTATCAAATTATATGTTGAATAATTTCTTTTTTCCTGTGACACTTGAGCACTGGGTATACAAAGAGGAGTAAAAGGTGCTCGCTGTTTAGCAGGAGGAGCAGAAACATAAAGAAAAACTATTATGCAGCAGAAAAACAATGTAGAAAGGAAATATGCATACTCTATCAGGGAGTCATTACATAAAGAAGCTAAGTACTTCTGTTAGGCTTGAGAGCTCAAGGGAAGCTGATGAGAACTCATTTAAAGTTGGTCCCTTATTAATGGTGACAAAAAATAGCAGCTATAATTTTGGAGCACCAGGTATCATGCTTTTAATATACCAAGCACTATCATAGGTGTTTATATGATTTCATTTTATCCTCCCACAAGCATACAAGGGAAAAGATATTATCACTCTGTATAGATAAGGAAATTAAGGTGTAACGGATCATTGGGAGGATCGCTGGCCCAGGATCACACATGTAGAAAGAGGATCAGAGGAAATGGGGCAGGGGGTGTCTTTCTGTGTCCAGAGCTATGAGGAAGATTGATGTTTTCCTTGATACTATAAAACACAGATCTTCTAAGACCAAAACTAAGGGGAAACTTTCCTTGTGTAGCATTTCTCTTATACTTTACCATTCAGATTTTTTCCCAATGACATTCTTCTCCTTGCTAATACTATCGCTGCCTCCACCATGCTTGATCCAGAGGTTAAGGAAATAGCTATCCTTTTAACCCCTGACTCAAAGTGTGGATAGAAACCATTCTACTGTCCCGTAGCCCACAAAATCAGGATGTTTAAGTAAGATTTCCTGAAAGTAAAAGAAATAAACAATGAGAATAGCACGTAAGTAAATAAATTACTTATAAACTGTGGCTTACTCTCAGGAGTTAACAAACTTTCTTCATTGAATATTTCTTTGTCATCTTAGCACCTACTACACAGAAGGCCACAGCACATGAGTTGACATGAATAAATTTGTATTGCTTGTTTCTAAACCACAAGATACTCAATAGGTTGCAGGATGTAGCTGGGATGAGGGGAAGAAGGTAAGAATTGTAGGAAATGAGGGCAGAAAATATGTGAATAACCCCACAGAGCCATGCTGAGGAGTTGAGTCTATATTTGATAGGCAGTGCGGTCATCATGGCTTTTAAATGACTTGTAGAAAACTAAGTTTTAGGACCAGAGTTTTAGAGGGCAGTATGGAGAATAGATTGGGAGAGGGAGAGGCTGAGTCAGAGAGACCAATTAAGACAGTAAAGTAGTCTCAGTAAATGACAAATAGTGTTACAAGGAGAGCCCCACTTCAAGAGCTATTTCACAGGTAGAATCAATAGACTGTGGTAACTCACGGGATACAGGAATTGAAAGAAAATGAAGAGATATCAAAGCTCATGGAGATTCTTAGCCCGGACTGTTGTGTGGAGGTCATTCCACAGAACTGAGGAAAGTAATGTAAAGGGCAGTCATGAGAGAGAATATTCAGTGTACTGTCCGACGTGCTGAGCATGAAGTGGTAACCAATGGAAACATTCATGTGAAGTTCAACATGAGTTACCCAGGCACTTCGGAGATCTATCATGACAAAATAGAAAATATTTGGGATTCCTAATAGAAATAGCTATTGAACTAATAGGAGCAGATAAAATTGCTTATAAATGTACATTTATTGAAATAATAAGAATGATTATTCTTAATGTTAACTTTAATCATTTGGCTCTAATGGAAATTAAAGTAAACTAATATAATATGCACGTTAAAACATTAAAATACTTTTATCATTTGAATGATAGAAACCTATTGAATCATAATTTATGCATACATATTCTGAGTTTATCTTAGTTTTCATATATTTTTGTACATTGGTATTAGTGCATTTCTGTGTTATTTTGTGAACAGAAGTTTACATTCAACTTTCTTTTGTTGAGTTCACCTGGGACGTATTTTTTTTCAGACTTTATGTAAATGTTCTGGGTCTGACAATTTCAAACATGTTGACTAAGTATTTTCTTTAAAAACTTTTTGAAATTTGTGAAATGTTTTAAAGTTCACTGTTGTACAGATATGCAAATTAATAAAGATATGTTAAATATCATTGCAACTATACCTTAATCATTTAACATGCTACAATGACCTTACATATTTACATAATTTTTAAAAGACACAAACCAAAGTAATTGTTAAAATAGAAGCAAAAGTACAAGAGTGGACCCTTCAGAGAATGAATTGCACAGGCCTTATCCAATCAGGAGTTGTGTAGGGAAGTCATTAACCTGCTCTCCTTTCTTTCCCCCCTCCTCTTTGGTTTTGTTTTTTTGTTTTGTGGTAGTCTGACCCTTGGTTATCATTACAGAACTATGGAGGTGCAATGAGACCCCCACTGAATGCTTTAGGTGGCCCTGGAATGCCCGGAATGAACATGTAAGCAAAATGCTGTATTATCCTATTTTCCGTCTTCAGAAGCCACACTGATTTGTAAGACAGTTTGAGCTCTTCAGTTCTGGGAGGTGTAAAAGTGGAGTAAGCATGAGCTATAGTGTTTGCTTCATTTTTCAGAACATATTCTCTATGGTTTTCTTCCTTCCCTTGTACCTTTCATTTCTTTTCCATTTTCAGATGCCATAAATGCCAACTTTTAGCCTGTTTCTTTTTTCTTTTATATTTTAATTATCATAGAAATGAAGTTTTTAAATAAATAAATACGTAGTCTCCATATCATCTACACAAAAGTATGAAGAGGTCATACTTTTCTTAACTCTACAGAAGTGAACAATTGAATATTGGTAACTTCATTTTAATAGGTACCTAGTGATTCCTAAGAGTGGATTTCCAGCTCTTCTATATGTGCCTTTTGCTTTGTTGGGCCCACTCTCGACACAGAAAGAATTCTCTCTGGTAATATCTTCTATATTAAAGAACTTCCATAGTATAGGGTGAATTTCCTTTTGAAAAATCAAGGTGCACTTAGATAAGGAGTAAACAGTTTGGTTTTTTTGTTTGTTGGTTGGTTTTTATGAAAAGGCCTTTTAAGCCCAAAGACAGTGGGTTGTTTCTATTAGCCAATATCATGCAATTTGTTAAGGAATTTTTAAGTATCCAAGTTGCCCTCAAAGTTCTATAAACTGTAAATTAGGATTCCTATAAATTAGGATTCCTTCAAGGTGTTTGTTAGTGACTTTGATTAGTTGACTGGAGGATCAATTCCATGATGTGGCTTAAAGAAAGCTTACAGAAATTATGAAGATGTTTAATATAGGGTTGTGGGTAGTCTCCTCTAATCTGTTTCCATCATCCATGTTTTGGTCACTTACATATCAAATTAAACAACTCTGCCATCATTTAATGGCATTGAAGATATACTGTGAGATACACACAGGGATTTTCATGTAAAGCATTTTTGCCTAAAATAGAAAATAGGTTAATAGGTGGGTATCAGCCAGACTGAAAACTAACAGAACAAAGAGGAAAAGTAGGTCAAATTTTCCTATCACATCTTTTCACTTTTAAAGTAAAAATGGATAGACATGAAGTCTAACTTTTCTTAAGTCCCTCAAAGGCTTAGCCTTTATTAATGGTTGCTGCAAGAAGGAGTGAGTGATATTTTGTGCTGATATCAAAGCTGAAGATTTAGGTATGTATAAAAAATTTACTACCTGAGGTTCTAACTTTAAAATGCAATAGCTTTTAAGGAATATAATTTTGAATACTATATATACATGTAAGGAGTATACATTTTGAATACCATGACCAATCCATAATTATCATTAAATATTAAGAATGCATATAATATTTTATGACCCTTTGTTATAATTAAATACACACATATAATTATGAGACCCAAATAGCTGTTAAATTGTCTAGTTCCCTTATTACACATACTTAAATAGATATATATGGGTACATTTAATTCCCTAGAGTATGAAGACTAATAATATGGATGAAAATCCTATACAATAAAAACCTAATATGTAAATCGTCCGAACGGTGGAACGACCAGTCACTATGATGCGCACTGACCACCAGGGGGCAGACACTCAACACAGGAGCTCCCCCCTGGTGGTCAGTGTGCTCCCACAGGGGGAATGCCACTCAGCCAGAAGCCGGGCTCATGGCTGGCAAGCACAGTGGAGGTGGTGGGAGCCTCTCCCACCTCCAAGGCAGCGCTAAGGACCCCTTGGGGGATGTCCACCTGCTGGCTTTGGTGGACATTCCCCAAGGGGTCCCAGACTGCGAGAGGGTGCAGGTCAGGCTGAAGGAAACACCTCACCCCCCAGTTCACGAATGTCATACACTGGGTCTCTAATTTTAATATAATTATTTTTGTTTCTTTGAATTTGGGTTTCTCATTTAAATATACCTAGATACTTTAAAATATTTTTATTATATAATATGTTACTACTTATATAATTTCTGATGTTTAAAGAACCTTTAAGCCGTACAGACTTAGATTTCCATTATTTGTTACTATTGACTTTTATTCAGGGTCCTATATCATTTTCAGTTTTCTGTAAATTGGGATTCCTTCAAGGATGATGAAATGTAAATATGTATGTGTTTACACTTGTATATATGTCCCTCTAACAGGGAAAGTTCTCATGTATAGAAGATCAAACCAGAGAGATTAATTTTTGTATTGATATTGGCCCCAACAAAGTGAATTTAAAGAGATATTAAAAGTGAATTTAAAGAGACATTTAAAAAAACATTATCTCCATTGTACTCAATAGGGTAAACTTCATTGAAATTTACTTCATAACTTATTATCTTTTAAACAAAATAAATCTTACTGTGTTTTGACAAATAAGTATTTCTGTTATTTCTTCATTTTACTTTTTTACATGTTGGGTATCTTAAAAATTAAAGGAAATGGCATTATAACAGTGTTAGCTTAAGCTACATTTTTAATAGTCTAAGATACTTGAATTTTGGGTCAGGAGGGACCTGCCAGAGAATCATTATCTGGATGAGTTTTCTTTAGCTTATCACTTTTTTTGTTTGCCATGAAAGTTTAATGACAATGAAAAATACCAAACCCTGGTCACTAAAGTAATTAAATACTGTATTTTAACTAGCAACTTTATCTCTTTATTGAAGAAAACACCATTTGAAACAGAATTTTACTAATTTTGTTGTTAAAAAAGTTGGTCACCTCCAAAAAATATTATTCTGATATAATTTTTACATTTCATGCTCTAAACTCAGGATGAATTATTTGTAGTATCATTTAAAAATTAAATAATATATACTTTCATTGTTTCTATAACTAGTTATATCTGTAAAAGTAAAAACTTCATGTCAATTTCAGTAACTTAAGGTAGAATTTATAAACCAATGTAAATGTGTTCAAATGCATTACAGATTGTTTTTAAAGGAAACTATATATTTTAATTAACTACATTTTTACAAATTCCCAAAGAATTTAGGATTCAGCATTCAACATTCTAATGCAATGTTGTATACCTTGGTATTTATAGAAACAAAGGATGAGGTATTTCAAAGACTCTAGTCTAGACCTTCTTGTTCTATTCATATCTTACAGAATCATAAAGTGTGTGTAGTTGTTATCTGGTAATGAAATGACTGTGAATTACAAAACAAAAGAGGATTTTTCTACATGGTGATCATGGTTGCTTTGATTTTATCATATCCCCAGACCCTTACTAAGACATACAGACTTTTTAAATTCTATTTTTTCTCTTTATTTTGAAATGAAATTTTTATTTGAAATAATGCCTATGTTATAGATTGTAGATTATTTTCTTGATGATACTGGTGGCCCTCAAAAGTACTGGGAATTACTGAGCTTAGTAGTTGTCCTAATAGAACTACTCACTACTGTAACCCCCACTTTATTTAGTGCTTTTATGAAACTTAAAATGTTCTTCAAATGCAATGGTAAAGTTGGGGAACTTCAGTTTATCCATATGAATACTTAACCAGTTATATTAAAATGTAATTTAATATGAAATACATAGTGTGCTGAGATTAGATTGGTATTTGTCAAGTAATTGAAATGTATGAAAAGTATTTTGTTACTTATAATAAATTTAATATTTAACATCTAATTTAATGTTATTTAGCCATTTGTACGCCATAAGTGTCTATAGACGCAAACGGCAGACCTTTTTTAATTAAATTCAAAATATCGTGGCAGTTAACTGGTTAATTGGTTTTTTTATTCAATTAAGTAAAATGTTTAATATTTAATTTAGCATGTTAATATAACATTAAACAAATTGTAAAATAACAAAATATTTTCCTTTAAATATACATTACTCATACAGTTATTATTTAAACATAATATATAACATAATTGTATACAATTCTTTTGCCATTATGTGGCTATAGTATATTTTATGTTGTTTTCAGATAAATATTTCTCAATTTTCTTAGTTAAAAATTCTCACTGCCATTAGAGGGAAAGGAGAATTTTCAGTGACCCTAATTACAGAGGACTGACTGTCAGTAGTCTACTTTTTTTCAGGCAGTATTTGTTCAGGTATACTTAATACCAAAGCATGAAGACAAGGAACTTTTCTGACTTAATTAGGCATTAATTTTGTTTTTAAAATTTGATGTTCTTTTAGGCTACAGAATATAAATCATTCTCCTTCACCCTAAAATTAAGTAATATATTGACATACATTGGTATAGGTTACCTCCTATTTTTCCCAAGATTTACTCTGGCCACTGTGTTCCACTACAATTATTACAACAAGAATTGGTTCTCTTGTTTAATAGTAACTAAATTGTCATTATCACTGAAAGATAGGTTGATATATAAATGTATAATGTAATATGTGATAATCTGTGATTTTTTAAAAAGAGGGCAAATTTAGACACTTTTGTGTACACTTATTTGTTTGTAGCTTAAAAAGAGCAATCACTTTTATATATTAGATATTTTACAAATAATTTTATTTTTATTTTTAATGAGATACAGGGGGTACTTATATTGATGTTACAAGATTATATTTTATAGTACCTATTTCATAATTAATATTTTTTACTTCAATAGTGTGTTTTTTAGTGATTTAAGTATATGTATATATTTACTGATATAGGTGATCATGACTTTTAGTAGTTATTACAATAACTGACTTAATATTAAAGTGAAACTGGGCTTATTAACAATAGTTTGATTTGGAAAGAAAATTGTGTTGTGAAATGATAAAATTGTTTCATAATTTACAATCCCTATAGCTTTTGTTGTTCTCAGGAAAAGTGAAAAATGTTCTTATCTTACACACTAGAAAAAAAAAGAAAAAGCTGTGAAAATAAGTATAAAGAGAGCAGTTTCATTGTCGAACTAGAACTTCCTGATGACTGTATTATAAATGTAAATATTTTATGGTATTGTGAAACATTCAAAGCATAAGTTAAAAAATGTTATTTATCGTATTGTCTTGTAGGGGTCCAGGTGGTGGCAGACCTTGGCCAAACCCAACAAATGCCAATTCAGTGAGTATATGTATTTTTAAATTTTCTTTGCACTTTTTAGTATTTAACAACAAAAGTCTGTTGCTTTTGAAAGCCCTGTAGTTGGTTACATTTAACCTTTTAAAAGGTAATCATTCAAAACTATATATTTTGTGTATATTCTTTTAAATATTCATAATTGTAATTTTTTCACTTAAGGCTTAATGTTAACAAGCATTCTGTGTAGATTAACAGACCTTCAAAAATAAAGACAGACAGTGTGACTTAAGTATACCATTTAAGTAACCTATAAAATGATGTGATTTATGTAAAATGATTTATTATAAGATGATTTGATCTTCTAAAATAACTGTATAATCACTAAATTGTCAGATTAGATCAATCTCAATCAGGGTTTTTATGATTATATTTTCTGTACTAGTTACACCTAGGTTTGCTCCTTTGCTGCCCGAGGAAGTAAATGTGCATTTGCCTTGGGCCTGTGGGCTAAATTGCCATCCTTACACATCTATCTGGGATTTTCCTTACATGTTTTGTGGCAGTGGTTTGCACAAATATTTTTCTCTCAATAATGTCACATAAAGTATGCACAGGTTGAAAATTAAATTTACAATCTTAAAATTAATATGATTTTTATTTAATGATCCTGCAGATATTTCTCCTTCTTGACTTTGAAATCTTGTGTTCATTATGTGAGCGAGGTCTGCTATGTATGTATGTGTAGTGTGTGCACTTCACAGAGGTGCCTAAACCAAGGGAGTATTAGCAAAAGACTGAAATACAGCTTGTGAAGTCTATGAACATCTGCCCAGAGAGGATGCCTTTTCTAATATACACTGAGATGCCTTCATTGGCTAACAGTGGCAGCCTTACTGCCAAATCAACATGAAACTGGTCAATGAATAAGGTTAATTTAAACTTCAAGAAAATTTGAAGTGAGGTGTGTGTTGGGTAGGAAGAATCATCCTAAATCCATTGCTATTCTAAAGCAAAAACCACTTTCTTCTCAAGTAATTGCCATATTTTTAGAGAGAAAAAATAACTTATATTACCAGCCTCTCTAAAAATCAATGGAAAAATATCCTTGGGTGAGAATTAACAAAAAATAAAAAATAAAAATAAAATCACATAATCATTTCTCTAATAAACTATACACTTTCACTTTTTTCCTCTCTCTCTTTTTTTTTTTTTCCTTCCTTCCTTCCTTCCTTCCTTCCTTCCTTCCTTCCTTCCTTCCTTCCTTCCTTCTTTCTTTCTTTCTTTCTTTCTTTCTTTCTTTCTTTCTTTCTTCCTTTCTTGCTGTTCTTTGTCTTTCTGGTGGTCACCCACTCTCTGTAAGTCTCAGCTGCCCAGCTCAAATATACCTTCTGTACCCACATAATACTTCTATCTACATTGTTATATTTTATTTCTCTCATGCTAGGCTGTCAGATACTGCTGGTAACTTTCAAGAGTGCAGATTCAGTAAAATGCTAGGGGTAGGAGCCCAAATGTCCCTTTTGTTTTAATGAGGATATCAAAGAATATAAAGCAGGAACAGCAAGGATAAGCCAAAATCAAAGAGCTCAACAGGGCAAAAATGGAAATACATTGAACAACTAGATGAGATAAATATTTTAAGTATTTTCAAATGTTTATTATATTTAACTGTATTTGAAGGAGCCATGAAGAGGGGAAAATTAAAAATATAAAAGGAGCAAGGACTTGGGAGAAATGGGATGGTCAGGAGAGGCTAGCTTTGGAAACAAACAGAAAGATATTTTTTTCTACCAGACATAAATGGATAAAAAATTAAATTTATAAATAATAAAGTATTGAGCAGAAGATGAAGGCATAGCAAGAATTTGATGCCTTTAATGTATGACAGAAGGTACCAACTCAGGATGGTATAATCATCATGACAGCCAGCTTACAAAAGTCACTTGTTAAATATTCAGGAATTTTGTGAGCTGATTGTCAATCACTGGTAGCTTGAAATCTGCCATATGGGAATTTTTACACCACAGAAATTGACTACAACATGGGCCCTCACCCCCCCCCAACCCCCACCTCCCACCCCCCAGGTGTTTGCAGGATTTACTGGCACACTACTGAAATGCTTCAGGGCTTCCATAAAGGCTGAGCCAAAATGCTTCCACATACTCCTGAAGACTAGATTGAAGCTGGATAACATGATTACACTTGGGACCTTGTCAAGTTTGTTTTGTGTTTCTTTCCAGGAAATCCATACTATAAAACAGAAAAGGTAGCCAGAGAGTGGAAATAAACAAAGTAGGCTTTAGGCTAATGAATTTAAGATATCGGGGAAAGAAATAAAATGCTGATAGGGGCATGGGGAGGGACAGAGGCAATTTAGTAGGAAGCTAGTAGGGGGAAATGGACTTAGTAAACATGGAAGAATTGTGATCGGAGATTTTGATTGAAATATTATAAAGGAAGGCAGTGAAATGTAAATGCCAAAGATTGGTGGTTAGAGTGTATTTTGAAATTTCTTAGGAATGATGGTAGGCAATAGAGAGAAGCGAAGAACATGAGCCAGTTATAGGGAGATAAAAATTGGAGCCAGTGGATAAGTTGGTCATTTGATGAGGGCAGATGTACAAGTTCAAAATAATACAAAGCAAAGGATGGACAGTAGATCACGAACTCAAAGGGGCCCAAGAGAGCAAAGTTGTTTTCACTCACCAAGTAGAGTGAATATTTATTGCCCAGTACTCACAGTGGAAGTCGTACTCATCATCAGTGATGCGGGGCACCCTGCAATGGCCATCTGCAGTGCCGAGTTACCCGTAGGCAGACCAACCAAGGGCCTCAGAGACGCGTGGTTTGTGCTTAAGGCAAATCAAGGACACCAGTCAATGAGGAGAGAATTTTCAAATAACAATATTAAATATTTCCCCAATCAAAGACCTATTCACCAATAGAAAACCATAGCTTTGTTGTACTGCCTTCTGCTTAAAATATAAAAAGAATATGGTTTCATATTCTTTCTATGTTTAATTATATGGAAGGTGTTGGGGTGGAAGGAGGGCTACAGGTACAGGCACTATATTCTGTTTGCTATGCTAAAGGTCCTGTTCTGGACCTGGCTGGCTGACTGCAGGAAGATAAAAATTTATTGGCTTTATTCAGAATAAGGCAAACATGCCTCTTCTGGGTGGGCAGAATCTTCATGTAAGTGAGCAAGTCAGCTTGTGTGAAGAAAGAAAATACTTGGATTTAACTTATTTTTATATATGTTTTCCAGTTTTTATTTTTAAAATTATCATAGCAGTGTTATATTGACATCTTTTATTCTCTAGAAAAGCACTTGGTTCAGAGCTTAATTTGAAGAGAAAGAGGGAATTTGTTACCTATGTCTGGTCCTCACAAATTAGTAGTCTTTGGAGACTTATACTAAGAAAATCTTTTGCATTTATTATAATATTTTCTAGTGTTAATTAGAAAGGAAAGGGGGAAAGATGAGGTCTATGTATTAGGTACTGCATGAATGTAGTGCCCTGAAACCTGTCTTTAAGAAAAAAAACACTGTATCTCAGAATACACATAAATTAGAAGTTGCATCTGTAAAAGCTACTAATTTGAAAAACTCTGCTTTCTGGTTTTTAGCTGCACGAATATATATCTTTCTAATTACAAAATGTGTCATTAGTATCAAGCAGTGAGTACAACTGGCCTGAAACCAATATAACTTAAAGCTAGCTGGAATTCTGTCTAAACTCCTCTTGACTAAAGTCTACTCTTTTTTGTAAATTCAAGAAAATATTGCATTTATTGAGTTTTCTAGCGCTCAGATAAAAATGCCTTTTTCATTACTATCCTTTGTGATACATTTTAAAACTTGATAGGCCAAGCCAGTGTTGCTCAGTGGTTGAGTGTCGATCTATGAACCAGGAGGTCACAGTTCACTTCCCGGTTGGGGCACATGCCTGGGTTACAGATTCGTTCCCTAGTGTGGGTCCTGCAGGAGGCAGCCAATCAATGATTCTCTCTCATCATTGATGTTTCTGTCTCTTTCTCCCTCTCCCTTCCTCTTTGAAATCAATAAAAAACTATTTAAAATTTTTTAAAAAAACAACTTGATAAAAGTTAGAAAATAGAGTCATTTTAGGTCATTCTCCATACTGCCACAGAAATCAAACTTTTCTTTTCTTTTGTCCTGTTTATGTTCCAGATCCCATACTCCTCAGCATCTCCTGGGAATTATGTAGTAAGTACATTTGGGTTTCTTTGCTCATAAGAATTGGTGTTACGTTTTATTTGGGCAATGAAATCGTTGTCCAGATGTTAAGAAGAGCCCCTGTGTATTGGCCAAGATGTGAACATCTGATTTGTATTGAGTTGTTTCGTCTGCCAACCTCAGTACATATGTTGCTGTTCATTAGTGAAACAGTTATCAATCTGGCCAAGATTGCCCTGAGTACTGTGTCTTACTTTAGCATATGTTTCTGTAAACCTGTACAATACACTCTGCCCAATCATGAAGAAAGCCTTCCCCAGTTGCACAATGATATGCTTGAATTTGCAGTTCTTCAGGAGAATAATCTACACCCCTACTTCTCCACTCCCCACACACAAAGAAGGCATTTAACTCTCCAATCACAAAGATAACCAAATAGCAGAAAAACGACTGGTAATGAGGAGGGATATTTTAAGTTATTTTTTCATTCTTAGAAATTTAAAATACTTTTCTTATTAACATTTAGTACTTATTAAAATTTTTTAAATAATTCATATATACCTCAAGTCAAATGAGCAGATTTTACATGAGCTCTTGAACTTGCAAATGACCTTTTAACCATCATTACAATATAATCCTTGATGCATCTCAAGGCCATTATAACACAGGGTGGGGCAAAAGTAGGTTTACAGTTGTCCATATGGAAAATAATACATTAATTAATAAATAATCACACAAGAATCAACTCTGAGTTTCATATACTCACAACTGTAAACCTACTTTTGCCCCACCCTGTATTTAAGGGGAAATGCCTAACAGGGGAGCAAGGATAAAATTGTAAAAAGGAAAATCTTTCCTGAAGAAATTTTCAGAAGTGGTGGCTAACTGGAGTAGGAAAAGGGAGTACTTTACCCTCCATGGAAATAGTGTGGAATGAATATAGTGAAAAGCTCATGCCGCATTAGACCTGTGCTCATTGTTTCCTTAAGTTACACAAACTAAAGAAGTCTCATATTTTTCACATTTTCTATGAAACAAAAATGAAAGTAAAAAAAATGGGATAAACCTATTTTTTCTTAAAATCACTTAAGAATAAGCCTGATATATATGAGGTGTCCCAAAAAATGTACACACACTTAATAGCTGATAGCTCAATTGATGTTTTTTTTATTTTCAGATTTCACCTATTGGAATTAATAATTATTCAAAGTGTGTATACATTTTGGGACACCGTGTAGTTTTATGAAATTGAAGACGTTTATTTGAATAGGAATTTAAATTGCTTATTAAATACCAACTTCATTTGAAATAATTAATAGGCTCTGTCTGCACACTCAGAATGAAGTGAAACTTTAGCCACTTACTAGTTATTTTGACTACTGTACATCTGAAATTACTGAATAATTTTAGAGTTACCTAATCTCCGTTTCAGGTGGACTGTGTAGCTACAGCCATAGTAACCCACAGCATCAGTCACCATTGCCTGTCATTTCTGATTGATGTGATAGATGAAGGTGCAATGCTCCAGAAGGTTTACTTGACACTGATAGAAGAAAGAAATAGAACCAGTGTATTTCTTAAACATAGAAATATCTTTTGGTTGTTAATTTCCTATAAGAGCCACGGATACAAACCATAAGAAAAATACAATAACCTAAATCACAAATACACGTGAATTACTCCTCTTTTATGGATTTGTAAAGACCTGATTAAATGGCTTCTCCTTAACCTTATTATACCTGGTGTGATTAAATCATGAATAATAAGTCAGTTTACAGGCTCATTGTTTTGGGAAACTTGTCAAAACAATCTCAACATTCTTAAACTGAATTATACTCTGCATAAGATTAAAATGACTATATGTTAAAAGAAAATAAATTATGGAGAAAATTAATTTTCTCTGTTATTTTCAAATTGCATCACTATTAAAATAAGTCTAACTTTTCTTCTGTTTTTATTTATATTATTCAATTAACTGCCTTATTTTTACTGAAATTTTGTATAATTATTTAGGGTCCTCCGGGAGGTGGAGGGCCACCGGGAACACCCATCATGCCTAGTCCAGCAGGTATTGTAATCAGACTAGCCACATTGGCATTTGATTATTAGAATAAAATAGAGAAATTGTTCTGAAAGTTAGTAGTATTCATTGTCTCATTGATGGATAAGGAATAGAGTAGAGGTAGCAAATAGGAAGAAATCGTGTTCTTAAACACCTATTGTTCAAATACTTTAAGCATTTAGAAAATTCCTGTTATGTAAGTAACATATAATCAGGATGTAAATTGTATTGATCTGTATGAATTGTCCAATGATTATCTGACTAAAAGATTCCTTGAGACTGTGGAAAAGATCAAAATCTCAAAACTTAGAAAAATTCTGCATAAGTTAACACATCAAATGCATAGATCCATTAGGTTTAATATAGCAAATCTGACCTACCAATCTATTATCTTACTAAGATAGATGTACATGTACCTACAATATTATTTATCCTGCATATCTATAAGTATTTATTAATTAGCTAATAGATCTACCATGTAGTGTGGAAAATTTTTTTAATCTTCTAAACTAAAATATCTGAGTATTCCTGTAATCATTATTTAATAATGCTGGTGGGAATGCAGACTGATGCAACCACTATGGAAAACAGTATGGAGTTTCCTAAAAAAAATTAAATGTGAAACTGCCATTTGACCCAGTGATCCCACTTCTAGGAATATATCCTAAGAAACCTGGTAAACCAATCAGAAAGAATATATGCACCCCTACGTTCATAGCAGTGCAATTTACAATAGCTAAGACATGGAAATAGCCCAAGTGCCCATCAGTAGATGGGTGGATAAAAAAAGCTGTGGTACATTTACACAATGGAATAGTAGTCAGCAGTATATGAAAAAAGGATCTCTTACCTTTGAGACAGCAGAGAGGAACCTGGAGAGTATCATGCTAAGCGAAATACGTCGGTCAGAGAAGGACAAGTATCACATGATCTCACTCATATTTGGATCTAATGAACAAAATAAACTGAGGAGCAAAATAGATCCAGAGACACAGAAGCATAGAACAGACTGACCAATCTCAGAGGGAAGGCAAGGTGTAAGAGTGGGTGGGGAGAGATTAACCATTAACCGGGGAATTTATATGCATAGCCCATGGACACAGACAATAGTGCAGTGTCCAGATCATCTTCGATTATTACTTTGTGATGAGTTGGATATAGATTATAAAGAAAGATATTAATTAAGTAATATTTTGTTTCAGATTCAACCAACTCTGGAGACAACATGTATACTTTAATGAATGCAGTACCTCCTGGACCTAACAGGCCTAATGTAAGTATGAATTTTTTAAAAATTTTGTAATGTATTTGAACTCTTAGTGCATTCCATTTCTTGGATACTCTTTAAGGTTTATATTTTATAATCCAGGTGCTTATTGGATATTAAGAAAATAAAATTCTTATGTTCTGAGTCTAAAAAATGTAATATATAACATATATGAAATATTTCATATAATTTAAATTAAAACTAAACCTAATTAATTATAAAATGTTGGTGTAGTCTTATTTTATCTCAAGTACTTAATAATTAATACTATTTGAAAATGACAGGTAATGTATAATTGTTACCTCATTTTAGCATCACTAATTTCTTCATTGTGATCCTATTTTATTATTTTTTTTATCCTGAGAAACTTGACAATAAATAAGGAAGTTGGATATACTTATTTTTCTCTAGATTTTGAAATCCAGAGTTTAAATATGGACCTGATGCAGTTCTGCTGAAAGAATTTGGATTTTTTAATAAAGCATATGATTGTGATTTTTTTCCACAAAAACTTACAAGAAAATGATATTTTATTTATCTGTGATACAAGACGTACATGTAAACAAAAATATATTTCTAACAGAATGTAGTTACTACACAGATATGTACATATAAATATAGGGTAGTTCAATTAAAGAAAAAGCAGGAGGCATAAAGGAATTTTCATAAGTACCGAAAACTGAGAATGAAATAATTATTATAATGGAGCTTCCTTGCAGTAAAGACAAAAGGGAAACTGAATCTGTCCAGTATGAATGGTACTTAAAAGTGGCTAATTTGAAAGGAGATGTGCTGGCAATATCACACTGAGGGCTTAGTATAAAAAAATAATGTAAAATATCTCATTAAAATTTGTATATCGACTATATGTTGAAGTGATAATAATTTTGATATAAAATATATTATTAAAATTAACCTCACCTATTTCTTTTTACTTGTTAAATATGGCTGCTAGTAAATCTAAATTTACTTATGCAAGTTCACATTTGTGGCTTGCATAATTGTGTCTGATAAGCAATACTGCCTCCAGTTATCACTGTTCTCTTTATAGAATCAAGTAAATTGCTTTTCAGGAAAATAAACAATTACCTATCAATTATGTCTAAACGTGTTTTCACAGATATTTTAAAGAATAGTAAATATGATAACGAACAATGTTCATTTTAGAAATTCAGCAAAAAAAAAAGTTTTACACTGCAATTTCATATCTTAAAATTTGGTATTTGAAAGGGAGGGAGCAAAAGGAGGAAATCCAGAGCATATGGTACTGAAGACATTTCTGGGGGCAGCTAAGCTGACATCATCCAAGTATGTTTCACTCTGGATCTCTAACTCCATCCAAAGATAAGAGATCCAAGAACAGTAGGTGAACATGTCACTTTTTCAAATGTCATTCATCTCAGCCAGCAGTAGTAAAAGAAAATTCCTGCTGAGGGCTAGGCCTGGAGTTTTTTGTGCTTCAAGTGCATATACTTATAGTCTATGGGGTCCAGATAAAAAGACCAGAATAAGTTCATGGACTATTGGCCTCACCAGCACCAGTTCCTAAGCCCAGAACTATGCTTTTGACAAACGCTGAATAACAATTATAAGTTCAAAGTTAATTTCTTTGACTTAGCAGTTAAGGCATACACATTCCAAGTTGTTTACTGAAAATCAATCCCTGTGCTTTTAGGCAATAAAATTTTCGGAAACAGAATTGACATTATTTTGAGAAAATGTATAAGCATGTGATCCGTATCATCGTAGATGACGGATAGCCATCTTATTCCCACACAGTTGATGGTACACAGGTTATCTGCTAAGGGGAATTGTTTTCCCCCCAAAAGCCCATGTGATTAGTAGCTACCACTATCCGATCTACACACATAAATACACATACACATGCACACATCGCATTCAATATTCTCTACCATACAACATGGAAGAAATGCTTTTGGCATGGGAAATTTTAAGAGCAAGTGTTTCCAGTAGGTTGTTTTAATTGAAAAAAATAAGATAATATGGATAGCTTGTCTTCAAACTGGGATCTGAGTTTCCTCAAAAGTATTTCAGGGAGATGAGGGAAAGATGGAGTGGGCAGGCCATGAGCTCGCCACCACCAGCTGTGCTGCAGCACATCTGCTCACATCTGTGTTTTTTTTACCAGACTTCTAAAGTAAGATTTCACTTGAAAATAAAATAAGTTAATGCCACTGCTTTTTAACATGTTAATTATAACTGCTGCAGAATGATTGTCATTGAACTGACATAGTTGAGACTGCCAAGGAGAATTAGCTATATTCAGCTGTCCCCAAGGAGCTGAACGAAAAGGGCGGGGCAAAAGTAGGTTTTCGGTTGTAAGTACACAAAACGCAGAGTTTATTCTTGTATTATGATTTATTAATTATTGTATTATTTTCTATACAAACAACTATAAACCTACTTTTGCCATGCCCTGTATTTAACCTATAAGATGAAATTACTTATGTCCATTTGAACAAAAAATAGATTGTCTGCTAAAAAAGTTAATGTTGGTATAATAATGTTGGGTCATTCTTATTAGTAAGATATTAATCATCTTAGCAACTTCATCAAAATCACCTCTAGTTTATAATAGTACAATTTGTCAGTAGCATAGGAGAGAATGTTTATCCTTTGCACTGACTGTATAGATTCCCTGCTTGAGGACACCTAAAGAAGAAAAATGTGGTTCTGAACAAGGATTAGTCTGAAGATCCAAACAGAGAGAGTATGGCATGGGGAGGTAGAACAGTCCAGTGAGAGACTATAAGGCTGGGGAAAAATCCAGGAAAGTAATCTCTATAACTTGAAAATAAAAATAAGTTGTGGAATTATCTTAAAATGTTAAAGACAGATATTTTAACATTGATCTAAACAATTGTTTTCAATGTTCTCATCATTCTTTTCTTCACTTTTTAAATAGTTTCCAATGGGCCCTGGTTCAGATGGACCCATGGGTGGATTAGGAGGAATGGAGTCACATCACATGAATGGCTCTTTAGGTAAGGATATTACAAATAAATTCAAAACAAAACCTTAATTCTACATAGTGGGTATTATAGTTTGCAAAGTTCTTCTGTATACAGAAACTCATTTTGAAATGCTTCATCTTTTACCTCATCCTGATAGTTTAATCTACAGTGTATTGTTTATGATGACTGTAGATGAATTGAAAATCAGAAATGTGAGATTTATTCTAACCTAGCTCATATTCACAGGTATTTCCTTTAACCTATCAAATCTGGGTGTTTAATGATAAAAGACATATATCATGCATTCTTGCCTGTAGGACTGCAGTATCCTCCCAACTGGTATCTCTGTTTCCAAAGGTCTTTAGATACAATCTCAGAGCAACTAGTTCTTTGCAAGAATCTTAACTTTTTTCTGTATTTTAATGTTTGTCTCTATTTTAAAATAAAATTGGTATCATATTCTGGATAATTTGATGATTCTCTTAAGAGAGAAAACGGTCCACATTTTTGTGTGTTCAGTGATAGAGCTGATTTCAAGTAGTGTGACTACTAGCTGAAACCCTACTTCATAAAGGATGCCTTCTTGCCAAATGAAGCCAAATATCTGTAAGGTGAACACAGAGTTTCACAATTGTGAGAGATAGAAACAAATGGTACAAAATTGACTAGGTCACAGAGCCCACCTGTATAGGCCAAATGCAAAACCAAAAAATATATATATTCTATGTTTATATGTTTAAGTAACAGTATTATAAACTAATGTAAGAGTTGATGTTGGGCATGGAGGTTTGTGATCTATTTTTTTTCTTTTGAAAATGGACCGTCTTTTACTTAGATGGAGAAACTATGCCCATGAGTAACTTAGATTATACACAGATTTCACAACCCCACCAAGGTCAGGAAATGACCTCCTCTGATACTTTGAAAAGCTATGTAACCTCAATAATCAAGAAATCATTTGCAACCCATTGGTAGATTTTTCTGCTCTAAAGGATGCATACTTATTTTGCCTATATTTCAAAGTCTTAATTTGCACTGTCCAATTATGGTAACCACTAGATGTGTGACTACTTAATTTTAAATTAAAAATAAATAAAATACAAGTTCAGTTCCTCAGTTGCACTGCCACATACCAGGTGCACAGAGCCACATCTAGCTAATGGCTGCCATAACGAACAACACAGGAAAACATTTCCATCATCACACAAAGTCTTATCAGCCAGTACCATTCTAGAATTTTATTTTCTAATTTCTTGCAAAATAATTTATTTTCCAGTCTTTCAATTTAGAGAATTAACCACAAAAAAAGATGACATTTGGTCATAAAGGGTTCTCAATTATATTATTCACTACAATAGAATTTACAGAAGAGTTTCACATATGCTTGGCATGTGGCTTATCACTTTTTGTAATGAACTTTATTGTGCATATTTACATATGTGCATAATTGCACATGTACATTCAGTGTTTAGCTATTATGCCTGCTTATTTATAAATTAATCATGTTAATAAGCCCTAACTTTATTTGTGACTGTTGACTGATGTACTATGAAACATTATATTTTTATGTCAGGAAGATTAATTGTTAAACTAATCCTATCTAATAATAGACAAACATGATAATTGACCATACCTTCGCTACACTTCCCATTGGCTAATCAGAGCGATATGCAAATTAACTGCCAAGAAAGATGGCGGTTAACCACCAACAAAGATGGTGGTTAATTTGCATATGTAGGCGCCAAGTGACGGAGCGAAGTCGGCTGGCCCCGGGCAGGAGCAGCGAGCGAAGGCCAGCGTGGCGAGCGAAGAGCAAAGAGGGAAGCCTGCCACGCCGGCCTCAGCCAGGCCCTCGGCCATGCCCCCGGGGCCCGCACAGCGAGCGAGGGGCTTAGCTCCTCACTCGCCGCGGTGCCGGCCTCCACCACACCCCCGGGGCCCGCACAGCGAGCGAGGGGCTTAGCTCCTCACTCGCCGCGGTGCCGGCCTCCACCACACCCCCGGGGCCCGCGCGCGGCGAGTGAATCTGGGTGAGAAGTTAATTCTGTGGTTTGGTGTCCTGGCTCTCCTGGGGCCAGGGGTGGGCAAAACGGGAATCCCTGCTCTGAGAGTTCAGGGTCATGGGGAGCACACTGCCCCCTGGTGGAGCACACGAGTGGTGCCAGTGGCAGGGACCCTCTCAGACCAAATGCTGGTCAGAGACCAGGGTGGCTGGTGGGGTTGGAGAGCCCCCCTGATGGGGACACTCCGCCACACCCCCGGGGCCCACGCGCGGCGAGCGAAGAGCTAAGCCCCTAGCCCGCCGCGCCGGCCTCTGCCATGCCCCCGGGGCCCGGCCGCTCCCGGCGAAGAGCGAAGGCCTGGGTTCCAAGCGCCGGAGGAAAACTGGTGCCAGCAGCCAGGGGAAGGGGCCCCTGAGGGGGCCCAGACTGCGAGAGGGCACAGGCCGGGCTGAGGGACCCACCCGAGTGCACAAATTTTTGTGCACCGGGCCTCTAGTCTATATAATAAAAGCCCAGCAACCCTTATGGTGGAACTACCAGAACAACCGGTCACTATGATGCGCACTGACCACCAGGGGGCAGACGCTCAACACAGGACCTGCCCCCTGGTGGTCAGTGTGCTCCCACAGCTGGAGCGCCACTCAGCCAGAAGCCAGGCTCAGGGTTGGCGAGCGCAGCAGCAGTGGCAGGAGCCTCTCCTGCCTCCACAGCAGCACTAAGCAGCAGCGAGCCAAGCGGTAAGGAGCGAGCAGACAGGTGGTTAGGAGCGAGGGGTCCCGAATTGCAAGAGGAATGTCTGACTGCCGGTTTAGGTCCGATAAGGCCTAAACCAGCAGTCAGACATCCCCCGAAGGGTCCCAGATTGCGAGAGGGCACAGGCCGAGCTGAGGTTCACCCCACCCCGCTGTACGAATTTCGTACATCGGGCCTCTAATTTAAAATAAAACTAATACTGGGCAAAGATCTGATTGTTGTTTCTTTATGCCAATAAGTATAATGTATGATTCCATTAGTTAAATAAGAAATTAGTATTGTTTGTTCATTTCTCCCAAGAATCAAAATAAAATACTATATTTGAAGACATTTTACTTTTGATAGATTGCTATGAATATTGATTGCTGTCAAATATGTGATATTATTAAAAATACTTTGCTTTTGGTTATTGTGCTAAAATGTGGTTCAGAATCATGTTGGGTATTATTGAAAATGTCCATTTTATATTTTATCAGATTTAGAAGCATAATGTCACAAAATATATTTAGAGATTTCTCTCTTGCTCTCTAGTTAAATGCATACACATATATACATACATGATAAAAATTTGAATTTAGTAGTATATATAAATCTCGCCATTATTTTACTAACAGGAATTTATGATAACAATAGTTTCCTTTATTCTGCCATTACAAACAGAAAAACTCGTAAATGATTAGGAACTAGAGGTGCAACTCTTCCCTGTATTTACCATCAAATGATACTTACTTACCATTCAGTGTAAAAAAAGAAATTTTTTAAGAATAAAAATTCAGGAGATGTACACTGGAAAATACAACAAAAGTTTGTGTATTAAAGGAGTACTTAATTTATAAATGAAATCAGTACCTTATAAAGGCTTTTTTTTTTTTGTACTTTGTTTCAGGCTCAGGAGATATGGACAGTATTTCCAAGGTGGGTGCTATGTATGCTGTATTGTTTTTTGTCTGTATTTTATTTCACACAGAATTCTCATTAAGATTATTAGAGTCACCTTATGAATTTTGTTCTTAAACAAGAGTTTGAATGTAGAAGGTGAGATATAATTAACTGCAAGTTTAAAATATTAATATATATAACCTGTGGGAAAGGGTAAAAATTAATCTTTCACGAATGTTCCTAAACATGCTAGGGTTCATTTACAGTATGCACTATCCCTGATTAATGGGTACCCAAGTAATAGCCAATTTAATCATGTTATGATATTTTATATTTGTAAAGCAAACTGACATACTTTAGGTAATTTTTTAAAAATGTAAAGAAGTCTATAGAAACATGAGAAGAGGTAAATTTGAAAAAGTGATTATTATATGTTATAAGGCCATTGCGTTTATACATCTCATTTGTCTTTCAAACCTTCCTTAGGAAATGCTGATGTCCTCAATCATTATTCTAGTTCCCCAAAATAGAGTACGAAAATAATTAGAGGAAAATTATAGTAATACAAGTAGGAAAGTAAGCCTTCAAAGAGCATGTGTCTGCATTTTTCTTCAAGAGTTTGAGTATCTAAAATTAATCCTTTGCTAAGATGCCTTATATTTTTTGAAGAAGAGTACCTAAATACTTTTTAGGTCATGATGAATTTAAAATAGTTCTCTGTGGATCAAAAATATATTTAGAATGGCTGATAAGAACTAATTATTAACTACCACTAGAATGACTCTGAAAAGTCTACTTTATATCAATACAGAAATTCATTAAAGGATGACTTTAAATTTTTAATTCTACTTCTAATTTATTTTCATGTATAATAATGTAAAATTCTCAATGCCAAGGTAAATAAAATAAGATTGAGCTGCAAAACCTTTTAAATTAATACTTCAAGCTAAAAAGGAAAAAAGAGTGAGAGTTTAATTGGCATTCTGACATTACACCTACACACCTGGCTTATACGTTCTACATACACTTTGGATGTCCGCGTCTAGGATCAATCAGAAAGGCCTTTTTCTTTTCTAAAAATAGGTAAATATTTATAACGGCACTAACTTACTTCTGTGAGAAATAGTATTAGGTAAGCCTTCAAAAAGCCTGTTTTCAAAGTCAGATTCTCTGTAAAACTCCATTGGGGCCTTTTCTCTGGGAAGCTCCTTCACCAGTTAGATGTCTGTGATTACATCAGCTCCCTTAGGGGCCTAACAACTGATAATAGCCGAATGGTGCTTTGTGGTCACAAGTGAAATTTCTAATGTTAGATTTCAGTAGCATACCCTAGTACAGTGATGGCGAACCTATGACACGCGTGTCAGAGGTGACACGCGAACTCATTTTTTTGGTTGATTTTTCTTTGTTAAATGGCATTTAAATATATAAAATAAATATCAAAAATATAATTCTTTGTTTTATTATGGTTGCAAATATCAAAAAATTTCTATATGTGACACGGCACCAGAGTTAAATTAGGGTTTTTCAAAATGCTGACACGCCGAGCTCAAAAGGTTCGCCATCACTGCCCTAGTATCTAAAGAGGACTCTTCATTACACAAATGTGGGATCTGAATCACTTAAGGCCATCTTCTAAAATTTCCACTACAACCCATAATTTTGTACATTAGATAGTTGTAAACAATTCTATATTGGAGAGTACTTGGTAATTTATTAAGTACTTTGAAAAGTTTAAATAGTGCCATAAGGACAAATTAGATATCATCTTCTAATCTGCCCCATATCAGGTCTGTTGCTGTTCCTTCTATGCTTATTTTCCCATTCCTATTCCCAGAGACAAGTTTTTACCTGGAAAAAATGCTGCTGATAACATTCTCTTGCCTAATGAGGTATTGCTTATTCTGTAAGCATTAATGAGCCACCCATTGTGTACTTTTGTGTACTGGGTACTGCCCTGTGCACTGTGGGGAGATATGATAGACGTCTTTAAGTACAGACATAATCTTTGCCCTCAAGTGGTTTAAACTTAGGCAGCAGTTCCTTCATTCAGCAAACATCAGCGCTGCCAAGGCTTATTCTAGGCTCTCAAAATCCAAAGATAAACAAGATAAGGTCTCTGCCTTCAAGAAGCTCAATATAACTAAGGAGACCAAACAAAAACAATAAGGAAAAACTTTTTCAAATCAGAATTCAAATACATTTCAATTAACATAATCGCCATTTCCAAGTAATCTATAAGCCACTTAGCAATGTGCTAGAAATGACCAGTTGCATCCCCTTCAGATGAGCTCCTAAGCAGCTCCTTTCTGCACTGCACCGCCCCGCCCCAGGCTGTCAGGGCGATGGTGCCATCAGAGTCTGTCATGTCTCCAGTTACCTTTTCTCTAGTCAGCAGCATCATGTGTATTAACGCTCCCCCCACCCCACTTAGTTTTCTCTTTACCTCTTTCCATTCACTGCCTAGTTATTTGTCTTTTACTCCAAGCTGTGCACATTGTCACCAACTCAATTTCCCATCTTCTTCCTTTCCAACACTGTCCAGCTGCCTCACAAAACTCCTTTCTGCCTTTTTCCTGGGTTTGATCCCTCCCATCCTATTCTTTTCCTAGACATCCTTGCTTGTGAATCAGAAGATAATCTTGACCACTACTGCTTAGCAGTTTGGTTCAAAATCCCTCTTAGATCTCCAGCTACATCTCCCCAGTTCCCCAGTTAAACCTGTATTTTATCAAGCATCAATATTACATATTTTTTAAAATTTCTTATTCCATTTTTAAGTGTTGTTTTTTAGTACCATTTCAATTCTTTTTCTATTTTTTAATTGTAAATATACTTTTTTATGCATTTTATATGTAAGGTGAAGGTTACTGAATTGAGAATCAGAAAGCCTGGTTCTACTACTTACAAGTTTTGGTGGCAACATGTTACTTGATTTCTCTTAGGCTTTGTTTTCTTAGCTCTAAAATAAGAGATAGAGCTTATAGGTCATTTCTTACCTAGTTCATAAAATTGTTGAGAATCATATGCTAAGGGCTATGAAATACTGTACAGATACTAAATATTTTCCTCTTCATTATGCTACCTTTTGTGGACAAGGCTAGGAACCCACACTGTCCACTCCCTTTTGACAGCACTATTCTACTGGCAAAATGAGCTCAGGGCTCCAAACGAAGAGTTTTAACATGACTCTTGCTCAGTTGAGGATTACCTAGTAAAACTTATATGCTCCTTTCTCATAATGCAGAATTCATTTTTAATTTAGAAGCCTTTTTAAAAAAATATTTTTTATTGATTTCAGAGAGGAAGGATAGAGGGAGAGAGAGAAAAAAACATCAATGATGAGAGAATCATTGATTGGCTGCCTCTTGCATGCCCCCTACTGGAGATCTAGCTGGCAACCAGGGCATGTGGCCTTGATCAGAATCGAACCTGGGACCCTTCAGTCCGCAGGCAGACGCTCTATCCACTGAACCAAACCAACTAGGGCTAGAAGCCTTTTTTAATGAAAAGTGAAATTCTTGTCATCCCTTTTGCAACTGAGGAGTCATTCATTCAATCAGTGGAACAAAAATATTATGCCTTGGAGTTGTTTTAGGAGTTGGGGTTAGAGAGGAGCAGATGGTTGTTTTCTTAGAAGGAGTTCACCTAAATAAATTCTGCAGTTCACATTAAGATACTTAGCATTTATATTTTTTTAGTTTGGAAAAAAATCAGAAGGCACAATCTGATCATGTCATGCTTAATAAATTATCAAAGGAGTCTTTCCAACCTGAACCTTTCGAACCTCATGAACCTTAGTTCCAGTTCAATATTCCACACCATTTGCAGGGTTGCCCATCAACAACTACAGATCTTTGCCATCATCTCAGCTGCGAGCCTGAGTTCTCGCTCACTTAACCCCCTGGGGGAACCTGGACTGGCAGTTTTTTCTTTTGGGAAAATGGCAGAGTCAAAATGACACTTATAAACCTTGCTATTGCCTGTGAGAAATCAAATCAAAATTCACTTCCAAAGGGCTTAGAATACTGTCAATATTATTTTCTTCCAATTATAGACAGAGCCCAAATTTCTACAAGTGTTCCCTTTTTAAATAGCAGTTTGAAAGTTTTGGAGCAATTTCTGGGGATAGGTGGGAGAAGGAACAATAACTAACTAATTAAGAGATGATATGGAAGAAAACTTACAAGATAAAAATCACAGAAGAGAGAACTAAATGAATTAAATGTGTTAGCCAGAAGAAATTGGGTGTGTGCGAGCCCACGCACAGGCACATGTATACTTAAAATAGCATTTGTATATGATGTCATAGCTTAAGTAGGGGAAACATTCCAGTTTGAAAAAAGGGTGAGGTGAATGAGAATGTAAGAAAATCCTTTGAAAATGGGATTAATATAATTTTAACTATAGTTTTTCAAGCTAAATTCTTAGACTACAAGTAAGGAATAAAGTACACATTAACTGAAGTAGAAAATGCAACCAAAATGCCTAATGTTGCTAAAAGTAAATTTTGCTTGTATTCTTTGTGCTCTGTACTCCCTAATTATATGCTTAAGCAACTGGAGTGCCTTTTTGACCCACCTAAGCCCTTTTTGTGCATTATATTCTTGCCTTCATGATAAAATCTCCTGAGCACTGCACACAAACATACCTACAGTTAACTGAAATATACACCCAGTTCATTGCCACCCACCCTCACAACTTGTTCCAGCCTGTTGTTTGGAACCATCTTGACTGTTCCTCAGGTGCCTGTATTGAGTGTGACTTTATCTTCATCATGTCACTCAGTGATCGTGGACAGCACAATCTCCTTAAGACCCCCCATTAGAAACTTTTGTTGTTTTTTTTCAGCATTTTATAGAGATTACTTCAGATTTTTTTTTTTTAAGATTTCAAGATTTTCAAACATGCCCAGTGAACTAGAAAGGAGTAGGTTTCAGAGATCTGGTATTAGTTCAGTTTTGTATCTTCCTCTCAGTGTTCTTATATAACCCCACACAAAAGTGTGCAATGCTGAGTCACCATGATATGAAAATAATGCACGAAAAACAAAAATAATAACGCTGGGAGTGTTTTAAAAATATTTCTTCTAAATATTTCTAAATATTTAAATAGTAATGCAATATTACTTTCAAATTTCAAATATTTTAAAATCACGTTGAGTCAGGAATCAGATTTTAAGTTAGATAAACTTTCAAAATTGTAAGTCAAGAAATGAGATATGGCAAAAGCGCAGCAGAGTCTGAGAACACCGCAACTCAATCAGATATGCTGCTCCTCTGGGGCACCTCAGGAGCTACTGGGAATGTGAACGTTCCACTAGAGTGGAGAGGGCATATTTCATAGATTTGTTTGAATCTGTAGAAGTCTTTAGCCCCAAGGTGCATCCTCACATACCCTTAGGTAGATGTTAGATTATTTTTTATTCTAAGATTATCAGTTTCTCCATATATATGAAATGATAGAAGTCTGCCTTCACCCAAAAGACCTAGATTTGGGGTGAATCTTAAAATATTTGTATAAATTTACTTTTATTTTTTATCTAAGTCAGCATTATCATTCCCATTTTCCAAACATACTTGATTAGTTAGTAACTTTAATCATGAATAAGTATAGCTTTGTTAGTTGCACTTAATTAAATTTTACTCACATGTTGTTTTTTGAAATCAAGTTATCCATGTTCATTTCAATGTAGATTTGCTTTTCAATATACTTGGAAAACTGACATTTTTAAAGAATAATTCATTTTAAAAGAAGAGTTCTTTTTCTGCTATTAACCATGATTCTCCAGCTGGTGTGGTTCATTGGCAAATGGAGCTTCTGTGGACGGAGGCTCCTGGTTGTCAGCTGCTCCCTGTGGGGTGCACAGCAGGACAACATACAAGCGGAACTCCGCCGCTTCCTGTACCTGTGTCTGCTGTGCACTTAGCCTTATTTTTAAAAAAGCACATATTCTCATTCATACAATTTTAAATTTTATGGCATAACTTGTCTTTAGTTAAGCCACACCGCCAGTGCAATTTTCTTTTAAACAGCCGAAAACCAAGTGTACAATGTCAATGGCTTAGGGGAAAAAATATTAAATCTTTCTCTCACTTGAAATAACAAATAAAAAATTTTAACCTTGAAGTTTCTTTTTACAAGTCTATAAATTGGACCTTGAAAGAGTCCCTCAGTCACAGTCGCAGTTCTGTGTGAACGGGCTTTATACGCCAATGCCATTCAGTTCGTATTTCCTATAGATGTGGAGTATCAGACGCCCTCACAGGGCTAACATTGTACGGTAATAATTAGACGAGAAAATTTAAATAGAACATGAAGTGATGTACTGCTTGGTGTTTGATTAGATTGCTAATATCAGCCATTTTATCTTAAAGGAAAATTTCAAAGTAAATCTATTTTTAAACTAATGATAGAAAAAGGTTCTAACGCAGGTTCATCTCGGAGCCTTCTTTTCTTCTAAAAGTACATATTGAATTCTCAGGTCCTGAGGTATTTCTCTTGTTCTTAACAATAGTTGTTAACTATCTTCTTTTTTTCCTTATGGTTCATATAAAAATAATGGTTAAAATAGTGTTACTGTGCAAACCGTATGTGAAATGAAAGGGAAATGTTTATGAAAACGGTGATCTTTTGACGTTTGACTAATAAAATTACTAAGAGAAGGTGTCACTCCGTCATGCCTGATCAGTAGGTTGGCTCTTCATCGTGCCCCTGCTGGAAATGTTTTTAAACTCTCCAGAGTTCTAGGAACTCTGTAAGCTGAGGGTGGGAAATTGAATAAATATTGATTCTGAGACTAAGAAAAAGAGTTGTGGTGGGTTATTTCGGGTGTTCTGTGTGTTTTTTAATTTTCATTTGGGAAAGCATTAGTACTTGTCAAGGTTCAAAGAATGAACCAGAAAACATGCTCTAAGATTAGAATCACAAGTCGGCTTTGTCCGTAGAGATGCTGCTATAGATTCCAATTTTGAAACAGTACAATGCAAGAGGGAAATTAAAATCTTCAACAATGCCTTGTTTTCTAAATCTTGTTTACAGAACTCTCCCAATAATATGAGCCTGAGTAATCAACCGGGCACTCCAAGGGATGATAGCGAAATGGGGGGAAATTTCTTAAATCCTTTTCAGAGTGAGAGTGTAAGTATTCCCTTGACTACATTATTATATCCAGATTTTATTTCTGAAGCTCTTCTATTAGAAGTAATGCATAAAGCCATATTACAACTGTTTAGAGTTCAATAGGTTGATCTTTTAAAAGTCAGAAAATTAAGTGAAATTTCTTTGAAAAAAATATAAAAATAAACTTTTTCTTTTTTACTCCCATGTACATGCATAGTTACAAAAACAAACATTATAATACTAACTTTCTCATACAGAACATCCACCATCAGGAGCACACTGGAAATAGGTTGCGTATTTGATAATTTTTCTAAGTTCTCCCATTACTAAAATGTCTTGGATCACTGCAAACCCAGGTCTGTGCTTAGTGCTGTCTGTCCTTAAGGCTCTGAAAATTATCTAGATGTCTGTACTTCCACTAGGCCTCACTCCCTGGTTTTACATTGTTAACCTGTTTTTTACATTTAACCTAAACTGACTACCCAGCTTCTTTTTTGAGTGTGAGTATAGTGTTAAGCAAAGGCAGTATCATTCATATCTCCATAGAGGTACACAAGAACAAAAAGAGAAGCAATAAAATTCACTTGTTCATTTAATAAACAATCACTGAGCATGTACAATGGGCGGTGCTAGGCACTGGTGAGACCAAAAAGACAACGTGCTGTCTTTTTTCAAGGGGTTATTACATAATACAATGACTTTTAAACTAATATTTCACATTAAAAGCATCTATAGAATTTTTAAAAATAGAATTTGCCAGAACCCTCCCTAGACCTGGTGAATCAGAATTTCCAGGAGTGGGGCTGAGCAAACCTGAATGTGGAAAGCTTTGTAGGTGCTGCTGCTGCACACACTCTGCTCAGCGCCACTGGACTGGAACATGGCAGAAAGGGTTGCAGACCCAGACGAATTTCAGTCCCAGGGCCAGTGCCTCCACACATGATCGCCATCTTTAAAACTGATTATGGAGGATCTGCCAACTACAAACAGAATCCGAACAAAAAGCTTCCCTCATGTTGCCCTAGTTCAACCTTCAGTAGAGGAGACACCATCAGAATTGAAGCAGTGGTTAGTCGCTTACCCACTTTTGCACAGAACAGTGCTTTCCAAATGGACCCAAGATTGGGTGTTCTGTGGACTCTTACTTCTTGGTGTTGACCTAGCGCCTCTGCATGGGATAAGACTGGCCCTGATTTTTTACTTCACTTCTGTTAAAACTAGAAATGCAGTTATGCTGATCTTTGGTTTGTCTGTTTTATTTCCAGGATATATAAACACAGGTGTGGGGAAAAGTAGGTTTACAGTTGTGAGTATGCAAAAAGAGCTTATTTTTGTAGTATTATTATTATTTACTAATTATTGTATTATTTTCCATATAAACAACTGTAAGCCTACTTTTGCCCCACTCTGTATATGTATGTTAACAAGGACAAAGAAGGCATACATAAAAATTCATATTAAAAAAATCCAGAGTAGCCCATTCATGATGAGGAAATAGGAAATACATGAGAAACTATGTAGTTTGTCATAATGCTTAGGATTATGGAAATTATTTCTTACACCCTGGTTCTTTCATTAGTTTGTTGCAAGACTATGGACAAATTAGTTAATTTTAATTAATTGGTTAATGTTTACTTGATCTAATTAGATGCATTTATTTTTATGCTAATTCTTCCAGCAATAAAATGCTATAAATTAGTGAGGTATATGATAATTACTTCAGTTCAATTCAACATTTATTGAGCCTGCTTTATGCAAAGCAGTAGGTTAAGGACGAAGTATTCTGAGATAAATATAACACATCCCTAACCTCAAAAAATGTAATCAGATGGAGAGAACATACTTACAAAACTAATTAAACCATATGTCAGATTAATAAGTACTATCATAGGTATAAACCAGGTGTTTTAAAAGCATAGAGGAAATTATTTATTTTAGATTGGATAAGAAAACTTTTTTTAAAGTTTCCATATGACATGAATTCCAGAGGAGCTGTCCCCTCTCCTTCCTCCCAGATCTGTCATTCCTGACTGCTGCCTTGTTTACAGGGAAGGGGTGACACCTCAGAGTTGGCACCAGAATTCTCCCTGTGGTGATCAAAGAATCAGATATAACAGGACTTTAAAAGTGTCTTTGTGCAGAATACACACCAGCCTCACCCTTTAACCCCAAGTGGAGTATGTTCTCGTAGAACAGCAGGTCCTTTTGTGAATTTGTGCATAGAAAAGAGAGCAGCTGGAGCAGGGCCTCGCCCACCCTGACCCCTGCCCTTGAGGCCTCGAAGAAGGTAAAATGCTCTGCAGTTAGGGAAAACAGTCCCCACCTTTTCTTCTCCCTCCCTCTCTCCTGTCCCCACCAGAAAAGTCTCCAAAGGCAAAATAATTGGAAGGTGGTTGAGAAAGGGCACCCCCACTGCAGGTAGTGCGGCCTTAGCAGCAGGTCCCCCTGGGGCTCCATTCTCCTGTTCACCCGGTGGGGGCTCTGCCTCATGAATGATGTCACTGTTTTCTGTGGTTTTCTCTATCACATCACCACACATTTTTGTTTAGACTTTTTTTAAAAAAGATCAAGAAATGAGAGCAGAGAGGAAGGAAGACAAAAGAGATTCCTTGCTGACAAATGTAGGCCTCAGGAAGAAGTAGACTAGGTATCGCCAGTAAGTTATAATGTCTGCAAGGCCCCTTTCCTGCGACTTCCCAGTGAGCTGACAGCAGCCCCACCTTGGCTCATTTCTGTCCTGTAACAGCTCTAGAGCCAGAGTGGCCCACCTGGGCGCTCCCCTGTTGCTGCTTCTATCCTAAGACCTTCCTTGTTTCACTGTCCCCAGATTTAATAAACGTACTTTCGAAAGAAAAAAAGAACGTACTTTCAAAAGAAATTTTTCCAATGAATAAACATTTAAAGTTCGTGGGGGTTTTTTAATGCCCATAACTCTGAAAAGCACATATTGCTGAGCAGTCTGCCTTTTGAAGATTTGTTGGTCTTTATCTTGAAGCTAAACCACAGAAAGAGGCCTGGGAAGGAAGCAAACATCTATTGAGTGCTTATCATGTACACACACTATCCTGCTCACTTCACATGTGCTTCTTTATTTAATTCATATAGAAACAAAGATTCCCCACCGAAGTCAGAAACCTTGCTATGCCAACATGCTTTACACAGAAAAACGTGAATCGGGAATATTTCACTCTTCAGCCTCTGTTCATTAGATCCATTAGATCGTAAACACGGTCTTTATTTCAAGAAACAAAGATGCCCCCTAGTGTAAATTCGGTGAAATGTTTGGTTTTAAAAATACAGAATACAAAAGGGCTTAGTTCAAAAAATAAATGTTTCATGCTTCTCAAGTAAAAAAGTCACTTACCTTATTTCTTGAATTAACTTAGCAGAATATTTTCTCCATGGCATTAAACTATAATCAACTGAGCAAACATGATATTAAAATCATGATATCAAATAGGAATCAGAAACAAACTGCGAGATCATCTCTTACGCCCTTACTGCTTTTGTCATTTCCTGCTATTGCAAAGAAATCACATATGGCCGATGTTTTTTACATAGTCATATACACACTAAATTTATCTCACTTTAGTTTAGCTCAGAGTAGCTGCAGTCTACTGATCTCTCATTAAGAAAATAAAATATTATCTATGTATGTAGAGATAGAAATATAGTGAGATCTGAGGTGTTCTTGATGTGATTAAACAGAAACTTACAAACATTGTTTGGGATGTAATGGATATCATGCACATTCCATGAGCATGAAAGGGGTATAAAAAAGGGAAAGCCATAGATTCTCTAGTACATACCAAGGCTTGTTCATTTCAAAATATATTTTACATAAAAAGGTAAAACAAGCTGGTATGTGCTGAAAATTATACCTTGAGGTTTCACTCTCTTTTTGCCAAACCAAACACTAATGCTGTCAGCAGCTTTATCAGAGCCATTTTATCATCTCCTGGAGGAGAACTAGTTTTGAAACAGGACAATCCGATATCCCAGGATTCTGCCACTCACATGACAGTGTGTCTTCACATACTGCGGCGGCCACACAAGGAAAACATTGCAGGGTGGTCTAGGACAGTACACCATGAATATTTAATGTCTCTAAATCTGATACCCCATTTAACACCTACTCTTCCTTTACTTCTGGAAAACTCTAAGCCACTTCTCCTCAAAAGAACAGTAACCAGTAGCAGAATACCTTTTGCCATGCACATTCTGCGGTTGTTCTAGAAATTTTGTGATGTTCCTTAGTTTTACATAGTTGAAGCATTTCCAATAAAGCAGCAGCAGGTGAGCAGGTTGTAACCTGAGCCATGCAAACAACACATCACTATGTAGACACTCAGACATCCGTGCAGTCTATTAACCTGCACCAAATACACACAGAGCATCATTTCACAGCTACGCAGACTGTCCAGACACCATTAGCAGATACTTGCTAATTTTTCTGAGTTGTGCTGCTTGGAGCTGCTGCTTCCTTTCTTTCTGACTGACCTTTACTTTCCCTTTTTGTGTGTGTGCCTTATTTTTTCACTTAGTTTCCTCCCTGGACAAGCCTCGCTCTCCTAACTTCCCAGTGAATCTGTAACAAGTTTTCATTTCTCTGTAAAACATTTGAAATATCACAGGATAAAAATCTTAACAATTGTCACTGAAAAGATGGTAGCAACTAACAAACATGCTTGACATGCAGAGAATGTGTATATATATATTTATTTACCTGCACCTATACTTTTGACAGTGCATATTAGAAAGAAGGCTATAATATATCTATAACTGCATTCCCTAACATGACATGACATATGTGACATGTGAATCAGCTGGAATAATCCTATGAAAAAGGATTGAAGAATTTCTAAAATCCCGATGATCCAAGGTGTGCATTAAAGGAAATGATCTCTGGAGTTCATTATGACTTCTCCACAAGTTTTGTTTTTTCAGACATTTTCTTTAAATTTTTTTTCTGAAATGCTTTAGTATCTCTTACTGTTTTTAGATTATTGGCACAATATGCCCAATAAAATATTTGTCTTGAAATAATGATTGATGATTTGGCTGTGTTATTTAAATTTAAATTAATTATAACAAAATACAACTAAAATTTCACTTCCTAACCTGCACTAGCTACATTATAAGAGTCAGTTGCCATGTGTGGCTAGTGGCTGCTATATAGGACAGCGCAGAAAACATCCACTATCGCAGAAAGTCCGATTGGACGGCACTGATGGAATCACCGATTCTTACCGTAAAGAACAGTAGCTATAGAAAGCATAGATTACATTTTTCTGTGCCCATTTTTTTTGCCATATTCTCTAAGTTTTTCTACTTTTAATAAAACCTTGCTATCCATTTATTTTCCTGTTGTTTATTCTTACACCTAAAGTCAAATACCAAAATATAATTCTGTTTCATCAAAAGCTGTGCATAGTTCTTTGAAGCTTGCTGCCATTGTTTATGATGGGAGATTTGCATGGCACCTTCTGATGAAATGGGGGCATATCCCCCTTCCAGCACCGGGTAAGGGGTGAGCTCCATTTCATCAGTCCTTGTTCGTGATCGCTGTTGGTTTTGGGTTTTGTTTGCTTTGCTTTGCTTTGCTTTGCTGCCATTATCAAGGGTAAAGGGGAGAAGTTTTCTATCAAACTGAATCCCCTTTCTCTTCTCTGGCAGTCTCCTTTTTTCAATCACCCTACTGTAATACAACATACAGAGTCAGTAACACATAATTTAGCTTTCTTATACTAAAAAGAAATTTGAGGCTGTTAAGTAATTAACAAGTAGATTTTTCTTGATTTGACCTGTGTTTAAAAGATTAACACAGTCTTCCCCTGTAGTCTAGTGACCTGTTTTCAGGCCTGGTCATCCACCTTTATTCGGGATCAATGAGTGTTTTTTATTTGAGCCCTGGATTTACGCCTAATGACTTTCTGTCCAGCCAACTGAGCCATTGTCACCTTCTGCTCTTTCTTGGGAATCTCACTTTGTCTATATTAATAAGTCCATCCTTATCTAAGTTATTACCTTGTTTCTGATTCCTGCAGTACCTCAGCTCATGTGGAATCCATGTCATTCTTTCCCATCTGCTCCCTTTTGTAACGTGTATGCTCCCTTTTCCAGGGTCATCACTGGTCCAGGTTAAGTCCCTGGGACCTGGGACCAACCCCCTGGACTTTACCTGCCTCTGTCCACAGGCACAATCATTAACATGTTAAAAGGAACTCCCCTCTGCCCTGGTCCTCATAGGGTTCTAATAAAGCATGTGTAGTATTTCAGGGCGCACGTGTATATTTTAATCTAGAAATGCTCTTGAGAGTGGAGGCCCTGCCCTCACGTCAGAGGCTGTAGAAGTGTGCTGTCCAAGATGTGGGCCACTGGCTATATGTGGATATTTAAGCTTAAGTAAATTAAATAACATTAAAATGTTAGTTCCTCAGTGGCATTACCAACGTATCATGTGCTCAGTAGCCACATGCAGCTAGTGGCTTCCATGTTGGGCAGCACAGTCTTAAAACATGTCATCATTAAAGAAAGTTCTGTTGGAAGGTGCTGCTCTACAACTCTCCTATCACAGTCTGTCCCTCAAGAACAGGAGGGTAGATTGGCATAATCATCCAAATAATTCCTCTCGATTCCTCTCTCAATCATTTTGGAGACCACTTCCAAATTTCTGAAAGCCTCACCCAAATTGAACTGACAAGAAACATGTAACAACAATGCCCTCCACCCACCCAGAAAAGACTGTGGGTTGAGATTAGATTAGGGAAGAGGTTTATATGCTAAGTATACTAGTAGCTAGACCAGCGGTTCTCAACTTGTGGATCGCGACCCCTTTGGGGGTCGAACAACCCTTTCACAGGGGTCGCCTAAGACCATCGGAAAACACATATATAATTACATATTGTTTTTATGATTAATCACTATGCTTTAATTATGTTCAATTTGTAACAATGAAAATACATTCTGCATATCAGATATTTACATTACGACTCATAACAGTAGCAAAATTACAGTTATGAAGTAGCAACGAAAATAATTTTATGGTTGGGGGTCACCACAACATGAGGAACTGTATTAAAGGGTCGCGGCATTAGGAAGGTTGAGAACCACTGAGCTAGACCCTTAAATATTCTAAATGCTTTAATGATAACTTCTTGGGGCCAGCTGGGAGTTGTTTTTGTTTTGTTTCCCTTACACTGTTAATCAAATATTTACTGAGTCTTTGCTGTGTATTCAATCAATACATGGTTTTAAGGGTTATATACTTAATACTCCCAAAACCCCCTTAAAGTGGATGGTATCATTAAACCCATTGTATAGGTGAGGACACTGAAGGTCAGAAAGCTTAGGTAACTCCGAAGTTTACATGGCTAGTAAATAGCAAGACTGTCCCTCCACCTTATTTCATTATGATTCAGCCTTGGGCTGGATTTACCCAAATTATAACAAATGCCCATGAATCTGCTGGAAGGAAAGGGCCGAGGAACTGGGTAATTATCATCCACCTGAGTCCAGGGAGAGAATGTGAATGGTTACTTTCCAGAGGAAATGTTAAAACTTTCAGGACTAAGTCAACTCTGTATGCATTTATTCTTTTTATAGTTTCTTATTTTTATGTTGTATGAGGTTAAAAGCTTGAGCATAAAAGATTATAAGACATTAAAATTCATAGTTACTATTGTTTACCACAAAGAACATTAGTGGTCTGTGAAAGAATTGTTGTTAAAATATGGATTCTTCTTTCTTTCTAGTATTCCCCTAGCATGACAATGAGTGTGTGATCCATTACCAAGTCTCCTCATGAAAACCACAGTGAGTCAGCCCTTCACAGAACTACTAGGGAAGAAAATTATTCATCACAGTGTACAGTTAAACAAAGGAATCTCAGTCACACCAAACCAACCTTTTTATTTCCTGCTCTCTCCCCTATTTTGTGAAGAAAGCGGGTCCAAACGTGATTCAAACAACTGTACGGAGCGGCATATTAGAATTGCCCTAAACTGAACTGCAAATAATTATCTGTGTATGTATATGTGTGGGAAAGAGGATGTATTGTATATGTGTATGTTATATGGACATATACACATGCATACATTGGCCCACAGGACATTGTAAAATACTATCACATGACATCTTAAGTAGAAATGAGTAGGGACTTTTATTCCATCCTTTTTTTTTTCACGTTTACATTTTAATTATTAAAAGTTGCTCCTGCCCCTCCCTGAACTATTTTGTGCTGTGTATATCACTGCTTTATATAAGTTATTTTTTAAGGTGAACTCAGATGTTATGGTTTTGTAAATGTCTGCAATCATGGATAGGAATAAAATCGCTTATTTGAGAGCTTTCATTAAATCGCGTCTGATGCAAGTTACCCTGTGAATCACAAAGTGTACTCTTTCAAAAAAAAAAGAAGAAGAAGAAACTGTCTTCATCTTTATGTCAAATCAAGCAATTTCTCAGTTACCTTTAGTGAAAATATTTTTGTACCTTTTGTTTAAAAAAAAATACATCAACAAAAGCTTAACTGGGACCTAACAGTATATTTCTGCAATAACTGCTTGAGATGAAATTCTTGACTTGTTTGTTTTAGATACAGAAAATCCTTAATTAGTACCAATTGCTTAGAACATAGCAATAAAGTGATGGGGCTTGTCATGTTTTTAGCAACATATTTTCTTTATGCCACGATAAAAACCAGAGAGATCAGAAAAACCATTTGCTTGAATCTGTCACTTGTCACCAGGAATACTAGAGCTAAATTTTTAATAACATACTAATGTGAACTGGTATCTGATTTTTATTCTGACCTTTTGTGAACATTTTTCCACATAGACATTGCAGAGAAGCTGCCCTCACATGACTGAGACTTTCAGCCCAAGGAGGAAAGAGTTTCCCCACACCCAGGGCTCTGGCTGCTGCCTTCCTGCCCAGGTGCCCAGCTTCCCAGCAGCAGCATTGATCTGCAGGGTCCCTGCTGGGCACTGCTCTCTGCCCAGGGTACAGCCCGATACTGAAATCATTTCGGAACTGCATTTCATTTGGCCATTGACGTCAGCAGGCTACATCTACATTGTGTCACTGTTCAGAAAAAAAAATGAGTAAATGCTAGAAAAAAAATTTAACCACTTTTCTTATGAAAGCCCCTTGCCCCATGGCACTTTCCAGATCTTTTAGGATATTTTTTGTGCAATCCTAGGTACAAACACCAAAATCATAATAGAAAAGTGTGACAACTTTAATTGTAGACTCAGAAAGATAAGTTGGTAATCTTTTCTGCTAAAATTGTGATGTAAATAACCATTGATAAATATCCACTATGTTTTCAAACTCCAAAGATTTTGAAAAGCATTGTTTAATTTCCGGTAAGAGGACTCCTTTCTTTAGGCTTATGGTCTCTAACATGTATTTGCTGATTCCTGACCCAGGTTATTATTTCTCTAAAATTTGTAGTGATCTATTTCTTATGAAAATAAGGCGTTTGCCTGTGCATGACACAGGGATGCTGGGCAGATCTGTTGAAGGGAAAAAGAGAGGCCGAGTTAAATGTATGTTCAGATTTAAGTTCTAATCAAAGGAGTCGCCGTTACATCCTTTGCAGGAATCCAGGACTGTGCACTGGAGAACAGCTTCAGGCTTTCAAGGACTTTCATGAAGAATTCAAACTAAAAGATCTGTTTGACTCAAGCCAAGGCAGCTTGAAGATGACACTTTGTACTGGCACATAAATTTACCAGAATAATTTTAACTTCCACTGTTTGTGATAACTGTGTGAACACCGGCAGTCCTGTGGTTAAGCTTAATCTAGAATTTTCAAATGTTTGGTTGAGTTTTTTTCATTGTTACTGATCTTGAATTTCTTTTATTTGCCTTCTAAGAAGGTATTGTTTCTTATTATCACAAAGAATCATGGACCTTATTTTAGTTGGCCCTTATTTGGGGGGTAGTATTGGAATATAACTAGCAATGTGGGTTCCATTATTTCTGGCCTATTTGGTTAAAAAAAGGAGTAAAATTTGATTTTTTTTCAAGGTATTGCAGTCAACTCATCATAAGTATTTACTTACTTTTCTCTCTTGGAACCCAGATTAAAAATAGTTATTTCAAATTTTTTAAATTCCCGGAATAGTTGAAATTTTATTTTTTAGGAAAAAATTATATTCAAGAGAACCAGAAAGTAAGGATACTTAATTTTAATATCAAATACTTTTCTCATGTACCAAATAGAGGATATGATATCTGTATATTAACTTTTGTTTAGGTTTTGAATCATTTAAACCTCCTTTTCTCCTATAAGACGACAATGTTTTCTCTTGTGTTTTCCATCTCCATCCATGTGTTTGTTTGTTTTTGATATATAATACCTGTTCCTGAGTTATTTCTACATATTTCACCTCCAAGTAATAATGTCAGCAATTCTTGCCTACATTGAACATAGAAAATGCACATATGAAATGTGAAAATAAGTAATAGATGAAAACGTTAATTCTTATTACTCTGCTTTGCATTCTGCCTAACTCACACGGTTGAAAATACATGTCAGATGCTCTCTAAGGTATGTATAATCTTAGCCAGCCGTCTTTCTTATAGTCAAGTTGCCCATGGGAACAAAGGCTATGGAGGGCCCTTGATCTGGTAATACACACATGTTCAGTGGGTGAATCTTTGTGCTCCTTTTCAATGTTCCAGTTTGGACTCAGTCACTGATGAATAAGAATTACACCGCTAGGAACCTGAGGTTAAGTTTTCTCTCCTGCCAAAGATTAATATATTAATTTTGCTCTCCGAGCCATGGAAAGTACCCAAAACACCCCTTTCCTTCTAGAAATAAAATAGAGAAAACTTCCATTTCTATTTTTATGGTTCTCTAAGATGTCTGAACTCCATTGCATTTCATAAGTCATTCAGTTACCACTCTTCCTGTAGTTTAAAAGACAGCCAATGAAATAAATGAGTTCCGTTTGGGACACAGGAAGCCTACATCTGTCCACACCATTTCTTCACATGATCATTCTGGGAACACGCAGCAGCATCCAGAACTCCCTTGGCAGAAAGTGTGCCAGTCCTTCATACTTGACCTGATTGTTTCTTGCGTGGCTTTCTCCATCCCTCCCTCCCAGTCCCTGCACCTTCCAGTAGAAATAAGATGCAGACTGAACATTTTTACCTTCTGAGCCCTTACAGTTTTCTTTTGCATATAGTATATAGTTTTCCCAGGGGAAATCATTGCTATTTCCATTTCTTGATTATCATGATTAATTAGAAACAGAGCCGCAAAGCATAGCTACTTCACTTTGATAAGCATTATAGTATTTTGACACTGGTTTTCCCTCCATTTTGATGTGTTAGGTACTATACTTCTCAAAAATACTAACTGATACAAGTGATGCAGGAGTGTATAGTGAGGGAGAAGTTCGATATGGAGGGGGAAAAGTTGCCCAAAATATTTCCAAAAAGTGGATTAGTCCTTTTTTGTTTAACCCCTCAAGGTGGAATAAGTTTCTTATTTGCTGTGAGAAACATGAGTCTGTGTTTGCTTAAAAGAGTAGTACCCAATTGTAAGCATGTGTAAGGGGCTCCCTGGGCCTGTGTACCATACCTTGAGAAATGCTGGAAACATAAAAGAAAGAATGGTGAACCACTAGAATTACCATTCCATTTTGCATACTCAATGTGTGTGTGTGTGTGTGTGTGTGTGTGCGCGCGCGCGTGTGCACAAGTTTGTTGGGGGTGGTAATGTGAAGTTGGCTCACAAAACACTCCCATTATGATTTACATTATTATAGCACAACTGATATCTATTCAACATAATTCTTTCCTTTGATTGCTTTTTATTTCATTGGTAAAGTAAGTGATGGAAGTGATTTAGGATGAAAAGAGTAGTACAGACATCAGCAGATGGATCTCCTGTGCCCGCCTTTAACCTACCCATGTTAGCTCATCCACAGTAGGCCCCCTTATGAAGGCACTGCATCTAAAGGTAAGATCATCAATGATCATTTCATCATTAGTCACTTCACTGCCAGGAATTGTGCAGTAATTAAGGATAGTTTTTTGATGTTGACATTTGTTTACAATAAGTAGAATTGACATTCTTAATTTATTTCACCATTACCCGTGGAACTGTAATTCAGATAGAAAGAGATGACCTACAGATGAAAAACACCTGAGACCTCTCTAATTACTCTTCTAAACTATATTCTAAAAAGAAATTCTCAGTTGAATAAGTCTCCTAAACAGAATTTCCTCTGTTAAGTTTTCCCTGTTAACTTAGTATAATTGGTCTTCCTGAATAGAAAAGCATACTTTCTGTATGTAGCCTAATGTGAATATTTTTGTTTTCTACATCCTTACAAATTAAATACAGCACTCTCTATAGGTATTGTAAATTCTAAAGTGGGACTAAGTGTTTTCATGTATAGAATTAGTTTATGTCTTCCCTCTCTGTGGATTTACTATCCTCAGGATAAATTGGACTAATTTTGATTATCCCAGTCATTGAAATGTTATGATCTGTTCCCAGGAATATATAGCATTTCATTTTTAAAATAAACTGCAATTAACATGACAAAGGTGAGTGTTAACATTTCTAGAAAAGTGACATAAAGTGTTTATTCCCAATTCACATTAAAACTTTATCCCACTTTCTCTTTTGCACCAAATGACCTCAGTACATTGCCAAAAAAGTGAAATTTGGATTCCTCACAGTGTTCTCAGAACACAATACATGGTCAGCTAAATTTCTATCATGTCATGGTGAAATTGCTCAGTAAAATATAATTAACCTTCTACTTATTAAGAAACAATAATTCAAATAATCTGTCCGGTTTACAAACTTTAAATTTAGCAACACTCTAGGAATTTTCTTAGTATAAACTACTGATTAAAATGTGTACATGGCTTTATATCAGATCATATTTCAGAATGGTTTACTTTCCTTACATTTAGACAATTCAAAACTTAACAGAAACTACATGTTGGAATAAATAACTAACATGCTATTGTGTCAAACATGAAAAATGGAAAAGTCTTTATTGTGAATTCTTTATTCATAATAGCCATCAGCTTATTGAATTGTTTAATTTGCCTCATTGTGATTTTATGAATTTAAGATGTTTTCTTACTATATGTGTTAAATTGTTACCTATATTGTCTTCCTGGAAAAATAGGATTATTTGTAAGGTTTTTATAAATGTACAATGTATGTATAAATATAAATTGGAATCTGGGGTGACTCTCAGTAATCTTAATTCCACCATGGCCACCAGCTACCTGACACATTTTGTGAATTTTGCATCTGTGTGCGTGTGCGGGTGTACTACATGTCCATTACCGCATTTATTCTCAGATGGAACTACCACTTCATGTTTTGCACAGGTATTTGAGCTATTCATGTAATAGGAAAAGTTGCCGTAAATATGTACATAAATGTCCCTTAATTTGGCATATGTTTTCACATTTAATTTTAAAATACAACTTTTTATTTAGTTTCTACCCTTCTTTTCATTTAGTTTTTAGCCTCTGCTTTATTACATATTTAAAAAGTAAAGGAAATTGTTCCTATGAAGCTAGCATAAATATGGGGTGGGGCAAAAGTAGGTTTATAATTATATATGAAACACAGTTTATTCTTGTATTATTATTCTTAATTATTGTATTATTTTCCATATGAATAATTGTAAACCTACTTTTGCACCACCCTGTATTTATTTTCTGAATGGTAAATCAAAATATAACTAATGTGGACATCTGTGTATATAATTGAAATAGACATTATGGCTTATGTAAACATCAGGAATCTGTAATATAAACAAATTTCTATACATTTAAGAAAAGGCTATGATGAGTGGTTGGCTCTGTGTGGTCAGATAACTAAACTTTGAATCCCAAAAAACATATTATTAGCAAATAGGTATCAGTGAATAAAAGCTTGGTATTTTATTCCAAATAGGAGTACATATAATGTGGAAATCTGAAGCAATTATGCAGATAATTTGTCCAAAACTATGCTTCTCAAGTACATTCATCTTTCTGATGATTCGTCCACATGGTTGCCTCAGCTCACCATTGCCCACGTGAAGATTCTGATGTAGGTTCTGCACACTACTCCCTGGATAAACAATAATATAAGTGAAATAAGTCATACAAAGAAAGAAAAATACTGTATGTTCCCTCTTATATGTAGAATCTTTTTTAAAATCCTCAAAAAACAAGCTCATAGATACAGAGAACAGATTGGTAGTTACAAGAGGCGGAGGTGGGATGGGAGAAATGGGCAAACTGTCTGGATTTTTTATTATTTTAGTTTAAATATATTGAAAAAATTAAAGAATATAGGAGGAGGAAGGTCTATAATTTAGATTAAGAATTCATTCCTAGCTATCAATTAAATATATAAATCATGCCAGGGCTGCGGGTTCGATTCCCAGTGGGGGATGTGCAGGAGGCAGCCAATCAATGATTATTTCTCATTGATGTTTCTCTCTTCTTCTCCCTTCCTCTGGAATCAATAAAAAGGTATTTAATAAATAAATAAAAGGATTATAAAAACACCTAGTCACAAAAGATTTGTAGAATTGGGAAACTAGGAACTTAACCAAAATACTAGGTAATTTTTGCCTTGAGCAGAGAGAGTACATGTGTGTGCAAATAGTGATTTATTAATATATTTCAACTTTCAAACTCGAATAAATGCGTTCTTATTTCATATATTGGATTTAGATTTTACCGTTTAAAAGATAAAAATCAAGACATTCCTTAATTACTTGGCCACTAATTTTTGTTTTCAATGAGTATGTTAAAAGAGTATGTGGGATATTTTTCCTAACTCTTAATTATAAGACAACCCAGTCAGAGATGTAAAAGAACTGGTTTCTGAGGATGTTTTTATGTAGAACTGTTTTCCACTGGAAAACATAGTCTGCACAATTCTGGAATGCAAACACAGATTTATAAGACTAGTTTCCCATTAGGGAATCTTTATTCTCCTGGGATAGTTAGCTAATGCACTAAGATCTGAAGGTAGATGTGGGAGGTTTCCTCTGACCTTTACATCCAGGAGAGATGAGGCCCGGGGAGGAGTCTCACTGCAAAGGACCTGGAAATTTATTTGCAGAATTGGCTCCTCGGTCTTCCTTTGAATGAAATCCGTTTGCTTACCCCATCTGAGCACAACACTCTTTTTCCTGGGGCTGAAAGTTTGACAACTTCTGCCTGAATCATGGGGACTCTTACTTCTCACGCCATGTTTAAGCCAAAGAGCACAAATTAAGGTGGTGGGATGGGGACTGTAACTTCAGGGACTAATAAAGAAACTTGTTTTCCTTTCACAATGAAGAGCACATAGAAAATACTCTTATAGGTCGGTGAAGGAATTAGTCATCCAATCATGCATTATCTTGGTCAACTGAAACCTAACTTGCTCAATAAGAAATTCACATGATATTTTACAGTATTGTTTTATGTTAAATACCATGGGACAGGATTGTAAGGATGAAAAACTCAGACAACAATTGCCTCATAAGGGCTAAGAAAAATTCTACCAGGATATTAGCAAAGGTAAAGGAGCAAATTTACACTGTAAAAGGCACCATTTCCCCACAGACTACCTTTTGGCACTTCTTGAATGAGTGAGATTAGCAATCTAAATAAATCATATAGCCCTAGCATGTTTAGCTCAGTGGATAGAGCGGCAGCCCATGGATTGAAGGGTCCAGGGTTCAGTTCCGGTTCAGGGCACATGCCTTGGTTGCAGGTTCAATCCCTGGCCCCAGTTGGTATGTGTGCAGGAGGCAACCAATTGATGTGTTTCTCTCATATCAGTGTTTCTCTTTGTCTCTCCCCATCCTTTCCACTCTCTCTAAAAATCAATAGAAAAAATATCCTCGAGTGAGGATTAACAACAATAAAAAATCATATTTCAAGAGGTAACAGCAACAGATAAATTTTAAAGGGTTTATTAAAATAACATTTAGAAGACA